GATTAACTACAGTAAACATTAAAGTCAGATTATTGCTGAATCAGTCATTTTCTCTATAACAATAAGACTGCAATCCTTTCTTATTTACAAACTTTTTATTGAATATTTGAGACTCTACGCAGAGATAAAATCTCCAACAAATTATCAGAAAATCCTGAGATTGCACCCTACCTCATCCACAACCTAAATATAAAGCATTATAGTTTAGGAATGAATTGAATGAAGCAACAATGGAACAATGAATTGCAATGGCTCCCAATGAAAGTGAAACAAGGATGATTCAGGATTTAGAATAGACACCAGGAGGAATTTCCTCACTGTCACAGTAGTATGACAATGGAGCCTATTACCTGGGGAAGTTGTGGACTCTCCCTCACTGGAGACATTTAGAAAGCATCTGGTCAGTCACTGTGGGATTGTGTAACCTGGTGTCCTGCAGTAGCTGAGGGCTGGACTTTTGGACCCTTCCAACTCTACTGTGATTCTGTGAAAGAAGAAAGTGCAAAAGCAGGCCTGCAGCTGAATAGTAAGAAAACAAAAATCATGAATACAGAAGAATTACAGAGCTTTACTGTCAACAATGAAGAAAATGAAATCGTGAAAGATTTTGCATACCTTAGCTCAGTCATCACTTCAGAGACTGCAGCCATACATGGCATCTGCATATATTAAATTATGTGTCTTCGGCCAATTTTCACATGTTCCTCTGATCCTAATCTAGCTTTCCTTATGACTAGCATTGGGATGGTCCCTTTTGGAATCCATCCCTCCAGAATCTGTGGACTTCCTTTCATGCTTGGCTTGGCCCTGCAGAGTAAGCCAATACAAGAGGAAGTCCACCTTAGCTTGTGGACCCCCTAGTTGCACAACTGGCAAGCTTCACCAGCCACCATTTCTGGCAGCCAAGCTTCTTCCTCCTCACTGCTGCTGCTCAATTTCTGACAAGCACCCCACAACAAGGAGGGTTTTCTCAGTGCCACCTCACTTATGAAATGATCTCCCCACTGGGCTCCATTTAGCACCAAAACTGTCATCTTTTCAGCAACATGTTAACATTGTTCTCTACTCTCAGGCATTTAATGGCATACAAATGGATGCAAATTGTTCAAATCAGGTGTAGGGTTTTTTTAATTGAAAATGTTTTAGATGGTTAAACGTGTTTCGATTTTGAATATTTTACACAATATCTGTATCTATGCTCATTTATATGCATTTTATTGCATCCATTTTATTATTCTACTTTGATAAATTACTGTGACCCACCCAGAGAACTTTGGTTATTGGGTAGTATAGAAATTGAATTCAATAATAATCATTCTGCTTGTCTCCCCAGTAGTCAGAGTTTTATGGCCATTGTCAATGCTCAGATCTCACTTAAAGTGTATATTTTACAGCTGAAAACGCTGGGGTTCCCACAAGCTTGCTTTTATTTATTACCTCTCCCTCTTGATTGGGTGGTGCCATTTTGGCTACAAAAGGACCACCATTTGGAGAAGTGAGAATGCTATTAGTAGTATAGACTAACCTCAGGGCAAGTGGCCAATAATGGTCCTCCCAGATTCCTTTCCCGGTCTCACCCCTTCCCTCCGTGCAGTGAACACGTTTTGTGCAGCATTTGTCACATCTAAAAAGCCGAACTGTCTCTCTTAAGGCCTAGTTGCTGTACAAAGAGCTTTAAGCGACAATATTCTGCAGGGGTTGGTTTTGTTTTGTATTCTGGGGTCATGTGGGTTTGCCTTTGGCCTTAATTTCTTTGTCTTAGCACCTCCTCTCCAGAATATAACCCCCAAGCCTTCCCAGATGAAATCTGGCCCTTGGGGAGAAAGAAATTTCCCATGCCAAACACAGAGAACCGATCATTCCAGCCTTTGTTGTCTGCCTTTCATTACATGCTGAGTTAAAGAAAAGCCACTTTAAGCCTCCTATGTGAAAACTTCCTTTAGAAGCTATTAAATCATCATTCCAAACCTGCAAGTTGTCCTCCTTTCATTGCTCTTTTTCTGACAACCTCTCACCCCCACACACCACTTACTGTTTATTTTCTCAGAATCTCGCTTCCCTGCTCGGTCCAGGAAACGGATTGTGGCTGCTCCCCCTGCTGCCAAATGAAGGAAGCTTAAAGAAGGGTCGGCCAAGATATTTCCATTCCAGGCTATTCATATGCAATTGCCCTGTATACGCCCTGTGTAAGATTAAGAGTCAGCAAGGTGTGGTTGTGGGGCTGGAGCCCTGTAAGATCCATGTTTTAGTCCCCACCTGGCCATGAAACTGCCTGGATGACCTTGGCTGGTCACTCACTCTCAGTGTTACCTACCTCACAGGCTAGGTAGAGTTACTTGCTGTGAGGGCTGTTGTTGTGAGGATAAAATGGAACTATACCAGCTAATTTGGGCTATTCACAAGAGGAAAAATGTGGGCATAAATGTAATATAAGTGACTGGGTTCAGACAACATGATAATCCAACATGGTTTATAAATCATGGTGAGTTCAAACCGGTGAGCTCAGCACCATTCCACTGTTCCATGGCTTTAAATAATAACATAGTGTATATAACAGGCTTTAAATAACCCATCGTGGCTTCATGTGTTTTCCTAATCTGGACAACACATTAAACCATGGTCAGGCCAACAATTAAGAGTCCCCTGGCCAGAGTGGTAAGAAAGCATTCCTGCTGTGGTTAAGGGGCTCTGGCTGATGACAGCCAGCAAAGCATGTTGGGCCCTTGTTAATCAACGTGGAAGAGTGGAATTGTTCATGAACAACACTGGTCTCCCTCTGATATTGTCAAGAGACTGAGAGAAGCCGCTGGGTTCCACAGAGTTTTGCCTCTCCAGGCCCTTCGGGGGGCCTGGAGAGATAGCACATAGCAGAAGAACCAGCCACTCTGTCTTGCTTCCCCATGGCTGGATCCCACCCGCCATGCCACTGCCGCAATGGTGGTAGGTGGGAAGGAGCTGCTGAGTTCCTGGGCCCCACAGCCACCAGGCACCCTCCACTCTATCCACTTTCTCCCCTGGAAGAAAAGGAGGAACGGAGGTGAAGCGTCCTTCCTGTTGCCTGCCTCACAAAGGGGGTGTATGGGGGGGGGGGGGTAGCAGTGATAACAGTGGCTATCTGCACCACCTGACCTAGCCTTGGGAAAGGGCAGGGGCTGGATCCCACATCAATCAGTTCATCTCCCCATGTGAACTTTGTTCTCATCTAAAAACTGAGCTATCAGATTGTTCTCTGATAGCTTTCTTTTCTCTCTTTTGTTGAAATTATATTAAAAGTACTGGGATATCTTAAGCCTAGAATACTGCTGCAGCTGAAGATCTGGAAGTCCAGGAAACTGGTTGTGCTGGGGGACAGTTACAAGAAATCCAGAATGAAATAGTGTTCAACATTTTTGAGGCCAAAGAAATACTGTATGTGAATCTGCTGATCATGAAGTGTTAAGAACAGGGGTCCTCAAACTTCTTGAACAGGGAGCCACTTGACAGCTGCCAGTGGTAGCTGCAGGCCTCCAAGGCGGTGCTGGTGGGGAGGCGTGGGCTGGTGTGGGGGCTCGTGCACGGGGTGAGGTGGTGGCTTGCTTGCAGGAGGTCGTTTCCAAGCAAGTCCAAAATGACCTCCTTGTGAGCAAGCTGCCGCCAGGCACAAGCACAGCAAGGCGCCTGCTTGCTCGCAAGGAGATCATTTTCTCCAACCAACGATCTCCCTGTGAGCAAACTGCTGCCAGGCAAGGTGCTGACTTGCTCATGAGGAGATCGGTTTCTCCAAGCATTTCCAAAACGACTTCCTTGTGAGCAAGCTGCACGCACGCACAGCGAGTGCAAAACCTGTTGAGAGGGCCAGTTAAAAGGGCCTGGTGGGATGGATCCTGCCCGTGGGCCTTAGTTTGAGGACCCATGTTTAAGAACGTAAGAATAGCCATGTGAGACCTGACCTAGAGTCCATCCACTTCAGTATTCAATTCACACAGAGCCCAACCAGCTGCCCTCTGGATCCCACAAGCGGGATGGGAGTGCGACAGCACCATCCTGCCCAAGTACCCCAGCAACTGTGCACACAGTCACACTGCCTCTGACACCGGAGACAGGATATTCCCATCTGGACTGGTAGTCACTGACAGCCTCCTTATCCATGGATTAGTCCAACTCCCCATTCAAAACCATCCACACTGGTCACCATCACTGCATCTAGCAGAAGTCAATTCCATAGTTCAAAGGTATGTTATATTTAGGAGATCCTTTTTACCCCTTTGAGCTCCAGTATTATGGCAGAGGGGGGAAAGTGTCCCTTTCCACCTTCCAAACAGCTTCCTGAGCTCCCTTGTTTTTCAGGAAAGCTGATTCCAGTAATCTCACAGTTCTGATAAGTTAGAGTCAGTGACTGGGAACACCCAACAGGAAGAACAAAGATTGCCAGAATGCTTTTCAAACTCGTGATATTCTATTGCTGGTTTATTCTTGCTTTTTTAAAACCTCTTTTAGATATTGGGGGTAAAAGAATGGTTAAAGTTGCAGAGTGAAAATTTTAAATGTATGCAAATTGCCTTTTTTACCTTACAAAAGCCTGCAGGCCAGATAAAGTTGCCCTCTACTTTTTTAGCAAACACTTCCCTGTCCCAGTCCCAGAACTTTCAGGCTGGCTAGGGGCTTGCTTGGTTTTTACCGCGGAACCTTTTAGCGACTCAAGACTGGATATAAATGCGTTTGTTTGGACGTGAGCCGCTTTAGACACCCCGAGGAAGCAGGGAGGGGGGCGAGGGCAGCTGACAGCACGAGCCCGGGGATGCTCACTTAGAAGTAAGTCCCGTTAGCAGGAAAGATGCCCTATGAGCGCTTTCTCTTTCGTTCCTAAAATATGCCCCCCTTTAGATCTGCCGTTCTCCCTCGGGTGCCTTTAGAATTGCAGCACGACTGTGTTGCAATTTCGGGCACTCAGCCCAAGAGTGTTTGCCCGTCCTCTTATCACCACTTGGGCGTCGCCTGGGGCCGATGGGCAGGGAGCGCGCCTTCCACCGCGGGGACGCGCCGTCCGGAGCGCTCGCCCATCTACGTGCTCGGAGAAGCGGGCGATAACGGGGCAAGGAGCTGACGGCGGGAGGAAGGTGAGGACGAGGCGAGCTGCGGCAGGCTGCGCGTCTCGTCGGCAAGGGCGGGCAGGAGGGGAGGGCGGGCACGTCGGTGGGGAAGAAGGACGCTCCTCGGGTGCTCCTCCGAGGCGGTGACTAGAAGTTGGGTCTGCAGCGCCGTCCTCCTCCGCTAGGCGTGCGCCACGCCCGCTAACTTCCCGGTGCCCGCGCAGTGGGGACGGGACGCCTCCACCCGCGCGAGTTTCCTTTTTCACGCTCCCCTTTCCGGCACCGCGTGGGTGTCTGCGTGGAGGAGGATGGTAGTCTCTGCCCCCTCCTCGGTCCTGCAAGGCAGCCTTCCTGGCTGGGTGGCTTCTAGATGCGTTGGACAACAATTCCCATGGCCTCCCCTCGCCGAGCCGGCGCTACGGGAGTTGTAGACCAACGCATCCAAGCGGGAAAGGCCGTTTCAGCATTCGCTCTCCCTTCTCAGCTCTGTGCAAGGATGGGCAGAAGTACCACCTGGGAGTTGTTTTCTAGGGTTGCAAGATATACCAGCAGTGCTTACTTTGTTTCTAAACTGCGAAACACAAGCTGGCGTTCGGTCATAATTTCGAACTGGGAATACCGCTCCCTCCCCGCCTGAGCTGTGCGGCAGCTGGTTCCAGTTATTTACTGGGAAAGGAATGCACTCGCGGCTCTGTTGTTGCATCTCGTCTTCCACAGCTGAGGCGCGGCCGCCATGAAAAACAAGCCCTGTCCACGGGGCTTTCACTGGGTTCTGCACTTACATGGCTGGGAGACAGAAGCCCCTCTAAAGGGGTATTAGAGCCACTCCGTTCCCTTCCAAGGACAAGGGAGAAAGGGCAGGGCTGCTGGTTCTGAAACAGCAGACTTCTGTCCCCCGATCGTGCTCTCTGCTAGGAAACCAACAGGAACTTCTTATTAATCATCAAAGGAAATCTGAGACTGTCTCGAGAGTACAAAAATAAAGAGCAAGAACAGGAAGTTTGCAAACAGTGACGGATGCTTTCTGTTAACTCATGCAGAAATGTTCACTTGAAAATCTGTAGGCGATGTTAACATTTTCTATAGAGTTTACTGATAAAAAAAAATTGTTTTCAGATATCTCAATAACCCAGGGAAGGGGAGTAGACTGAGGAATTGTGCCCAGAACCATTGGTGATCATGACAGCTTGGGCACTATTTCAACTCTGCACACCCAATAGAGTCTGTCTGCTAAATCACATGGGCAGTCGATATGCTGACGGGCAGAGGCTGATGGGCCAAGAACTGTATACTTCCTTGAAGCCACAAGGGGTTTTCCCTCATCTTCCCTGGACCATCCAGGAAATCTGCTCAAACTAGGGTGATGCTGTGCTAGACAGGGCACCCTTAAAGGACATAGAATTTCTGTGCTGAGCCACATTCTTGGAACCCCACATATAACACATGACATATGACATATAAAGTATGTTTTGTGTTTTTCCAGCAAGCAAGTACACTGTGGGCATCTGCATTCTGAGTACAGGGACATCAGGACCACCAGCACCCATACCCAGTGTTGGAAAGAAAGAAGGGTATTCCAGGCAAGTAAGTGACTGCATCTAACTCCGGTTGCTTCACTGGGTAATATACTGGTAGTGAAATGGCAGTTGTATCAAGGTAAACTTTCCAAAGATCCCTGGACTTTTAGATGCAAACAGCTATGTTCCATCCAGGCATACAAATCCTTTTGGGGTAAGTAAAAGTTCTTTTCTTGTGAACATTCACTTCCCGGTCCATTCTTGGGTCTTTCTCTCTCTTCCTCCTGTGAACTTCCTCTTCTGGGGTGCCAGAAGTGGGACTGACTGGGCTACTCTGCCAGGCACTGTTTTGATAGTACCTGGCACCCCTGAGAGAAGGTCTTGTACTACAAATACATTGGTCAATGGCAAGTTAAAAGCTTGTTGCCAAGGAAGAGTACATTCCCTGCCATTTTGAGTGTTTCCCCAGTCCCTCTTTCCAAAGGTCTTTGTTCTACCAAAGGCAGAATAAATTGAAAGTGTATTAGCAAAGCCAGGAATAACATCTCCCAGGCTTCATTCAGTGGCCCTGAGACCTCTGGAATATGTTAATGCTTTCAGCTCTGTACTTGGTTTTAATCTAATCAAATCACATAGCTCCTCTATTGTATTGTCTATGTTACCACTCAGAGGTGGAAGGCAACATTCAGGAAGCCCTAGGAAATCCACTGCTGAAACATTATCTTGAATGTGTTGGGGTGAAGGTTAGCAGTGAAGAGTAAAATTCTGTTTGCCCTCAAAACTTGAAAAAGGGTACAACATCACTATAAGGAAATGACTTACAGGACAAGTGAATAATGGCAACCCTCTAGACTGGAGGATTACAGGCATCCTATGGAGGATGGAGCGCGCGTGGAGATGAGGTCACTCCTGTGTTCCTGCCCGGGAAAGGTCACTTTAATGGGCACACTTCAGCGCAGGATGGAAGACGGCTGAGGCACTGCCAGGATGCACTGTTGGTGGCACTGTCCATTCCTCACTGCCTGCCCTCAAACCTCCTCCTCTGAGGTCACTGTCGTGATCTTGGAGAGGCAGCTGGCTTGGTTCTTTTCATGCCAGCTGTTGTGGGGCAGAGGGCACTCCAGTCTTGGATCCCCAGTGCTGAGGTTGGTTTCCCAGTCTTGGATCCGAGGGAGCCCAGCCAATGTCTAAGCATCATAGTGTCTCTTTGAATAAATAAATAGACAATTAGTTAAACCCCATTGTTTTGGCTTTTGCTCCATCCTGCTCCCCCATTCTTCCCCTTCCATTCTCATCCAGGCTACAATTCTGCAAGGGGCTTACCCCTTAATCCCCCCCACTTCCCCTTGTTTGTCCCTTTAAAAGAGGCCTTGTAGTTAACGGCTCACTCATTACTTTGGCATGTTCCTTTCTATTTTTTAAAAACCTTTCTAGAAAAATGTTGCATTGTCTTTATTACTCTCTGGGTATTTTATCTAGGGAATTCCTCTATGCATAATTAACTATGTGAATGTTATGGCTGGGATGCTCACCAGACTAATTTCTACTAAACTGACGAGGAGCCCTTGGTCTCTCACACTCCCTCTCACAGAACATCCAAGGCTTGTAAATCCACGCGACCACAGGGGCCCCACTATTCCAGCTGGCTGCCAGGTCAGCCAGCAAGCATATAGTGGCCACATGCAATGCTTGCAGACACTGCTGCCTGCCACAGCCAGGAGCGAGAAGGCAAACAGCAGTGGCCTAGTACAGACTCTGGCCTGGACACCTGGTACCCTCAGGCTGATGAGGAGGTGCTGGAACTACTACTCCAACTACTATTACAAGGTGCTGTGCCTGCCCCTCCGTAATTTCTCCTGGATTTAAGCTGATTTACAGGCAAATTAATGTATCTGGACTAGCAACCAGCCATCTCAAGGGGCTTATAAACAGCCCAATGTAAGGCTGGAGCCAGCCATGGCAGTGCAGGCAGCAAAGAAAGGTTATTGTCTCTGTTGCATCTTCGAATAGTTGCCTAGCAGAACTCTTTAAGGTCGTTAGGGGCCTGTTCCCACTGCAACCGGTGAATTCAGCCTTGTCCTCTCAAAGACCTGCAGTGGTGCTTTTACATCACATGTTGAGGGCAAATTGTGTGCCTATGCAGCACACTTGATGCTGTTGTCAGTGCAGCTCTAGGCAAGGGCACTTGCGTCGCCATCTGCCCGTGGAATCAATTTACCTGGGCACTCTAGTCAGCATCTGGAGACTTCCCCTGAATGCCAACTCTGGGAAGGGTTCAGAGCACAGCAGCAAGAGGGAGAGTGTTCTCTATGGGGGCCCCCATCTATGGAATTACCTCCCCACTGAGACCTGTCGGGCACTAATCTTGTTATCTTCTTGGTGCCAGGCTAAGATGGCCCTTTATGCCAAGAGTTTTAATGCTAAACTAGGATATCCAAGGGCTTGAAGTGATTATTCATCCCAGGTATTTTTACAGAGCTTCTCTTTATTGTGCAATTTAGCTGTTTTCATTTTTTTAAATTTTTAAATGTTTGCATTGTGGAAAAATGTATTTATGAATTGTTGAAAACTACCCCAAGAGCATTGGCACCTGGGCAGCACAGAAATAAAACAATTTTTTTTAAATTAAAAATTCAGCTGCTGCAGTCTGAAGATATGGACAAGGTGCTTGCTGACTACAGGCTTTTTTCAATCCTTGCCCCTTCCAGGCTAATAAAAACTCTTGGTGGTCTCATACGGACTCGTGGCCCAGCAGGTATCTTCCACCTTTAGTGTGGCAGCCACATTGCAATGGAATTCCCAGTGTCTGGAGGTGAGGCGGACTTGACACTCTGTGGTTTTTGGTGGCTACTGAAGGCATCTTTATCTGGGAAGCCTTTCTTACCAACCAGCCACACTTAATGTCATCCTATTTTAATGTGCTTTTTTACTCTTCTAGCTTTTTAAGATTTTCACTATTCACTGCTGTGGAATTTGCCCAGTTATGCAGTAGTATATTCATACTAATCAATAAATAAAGTTTCTTCTCCAGGGATATGAACCTGCCCTTAGTCTTTCAAATCTGACATCTTTTCCCATTCACTTTCACTTTCACTTTCAGACATATTTTTCTGTCTCTTTAGCCAGAGCTTCAGTGGAAAAATTGAATAACATTGGACCCAACATATGGGATACGGTTTGAAAAATCCTTCTGTTTGACTAGAGTTTTCCCCTAGACTGTCATACAGCTCTGATAGAGATGGATAGTACATTGAAAATACATGAAAATATTGTGATGCTTGCTATTAAAATATTTTATATAGATTTCAGAGCCCATATTTTTCTGTACAGCTCTTGAACCTTTTATCTAAATATGAGCAGGAAGCAAAATGTCTAGATGTTTTGGACTTCAGTTCCCAGAAGTCATTGCTAGCATGGTTAGTGACCAGGAATGCTGGAGCTGAAGTCTGAAGCAGCCAGGCATCTACTTCCCTCATTACAGGAAGGATATAGCCAGGTTAGAGGCAGTGCAGTGCAGGGCCACAAGGATGGTGGCTGGATCGCAGGGGATGGGGTATGAGGCGAGACTGAGGGAACTGGAACTTTTCAGCCTGGAGAAGAGGAGACTTCAAGGGGATCTATTGGCAACATATAGGTATGTGAGGGGGTGTCACATGGAGGTGGGTAGAGACCTGTTGTCCCCTGTAGAGGAGGGCAGGACGCGCTCCAATGGAGCCAAGCTCAAGGAACCAAGGTTCAATTTGGATGCCAGGAAGTACTTCCTGACAGTTAGGACCCCGAGGGTATGGAATGGGCTTCCACGGGAGGTGGTTGAAGCCCCATTGGTGAGGATGTTCAAGGATAGGCTAGACATGCACATGGTAGGCATGTCATGAGCGGAGCCAGCTAGAGCCAGGGTCAGACTAGATGACCCGGGAGGACCCTTCTGACTCACCTGTTTCTATGTAACTTACTGCCCCCTCTTGCTTTGACCATCAGTCTTCACCATTTAAAGTATGGACGACAGCATTTACTTGTATTCACTTGTGTCTCTTTCCTCTTGTTCGTTGGGTGTCCAGAGGAATTATTCAGGGGGTGGGGCCAAGTATATACATGCATAACTAGAGTCAGAGAACAAATCTACAATGTTTAGTGCATTGGCTGACCATGGTGAAGCCAGAGCACCGGATGAATTAGGTTATTAGGCCAGGCCTCTGAGTCATTTGTTGAGTTGTTAATCTCCCCCAGTTTCTCAGCAGGTAGACCCACTGTCCAAACCACATCTTTCCATCTGTGGCTGCAACACTCAATTCCTTCCCTGGCCATCCTCAGCCCCTCTAGCACTCAATTGCACTACTGTTAGAACTACAGAGCAGTAGCTGTATCCCCCTCAAACCCTAGCTCAGTCGGGGAGGGGGGGATGTGGAGAGAGAGAATACTCCACCATGCAAGTAGACTAGCTAACAAAACTGGATTACACTGCAGGTTGGCCATGCCCTATGCAGCAAAATGGATTCAAGAGCCCCGGGCTTCTTTACATGGTTGGCATAACCTATGTTCTCTCAGCCACTGTCCCACTCCTGCAATATATGGGTATATAATGATGATAGAACTTATTGGCAGGTTAATTTTAATAGATGGTTACAGACTTGGGATGTGGAGATGAGTTTATTTTGTAAGAAAGCTTTGGTGCTATGGAAATGTAATAAATAAATCTGAAAGAAGTCCGGGTTAGATCATGAACTCCAGTTATGTGGCTGCCTTTTGTTTTTGGTTAGACCAACTACTTCCTAGCAACAACTACATTAAAATCTGGATTTCTATGGGGATCGATCATTTCACAAGGGAAACCAAGTAGCTGACTAAAAATGATCTGTGTGCTATTTGTGAGTTCATTCAGTGGCTAAAAGCACTGAAAGATGAGACCTGGCTAGTTTCTCACAAAAGAGCTGGGCAGAATGCTTCCTGGATGTTTTGCCATTTACTGTATCTCAGGTTCTACAAGGGTGAAAATACACTTCTAGAAAGTGAAAGTAGGAAATCCAGGGGTTATGGCTCATTGGGGGGCAACTGTTCCCCCTGTCCTGTTTCCATTGTGTAAGGCAGCCACCTACAATTTTGTCTGTGAAACCCTTTTTATATGATCAGTTCACATAGCACTTGCAACAGTTACATAAACCCTTTGGTAGCATTTGTGTTCACTGATCAGTCTTTTCTTGGAATATTTTTTAAAAATGCTCTCCTAAGAAAGCACACCTCAGTTCTCTGATAACAAATCCTTTCAGAGCCTCCAAGATAATGCTTTCCTAGTGCTTCATTTTGAAGAGAGAGGTGCCAAGACTCACTCCTGACCCAGAATCCTACTTAGGGAATCTTTGCTTCAAATCCCCGATGAGAATGAAGCTCAGTGAGATCTTGGTGTTGAAGAGGAGCAGTTTGCACATGCACGTGTGTTGTCTTTTTTTATTTCAGCAAGTAGACTTAACTTGTACACAGGCTGTGGGACTGAGTCAGGGTAAAATGTGAACGCTGTGCCTTTAGCAGAATCATGCCTCAGGGTACGTCTCACACAGGTTTTATAGGAACCTGCATTCATGCGGTGGTTCTAGTTAAAATGTTTTATTAGGAACTTTTACTCCGCAAAACTGGTTTGCAATGCTTAGAATCATCCCAGTGAAATCAATGCACTTGGGTCTACTCTGAATGTGACCAAGTCTGGATCCAAGCCATTGTAGTGTGTGGCATTTAACTGGCATTATGTGCAGCAGCCTTAAAAGCAAACGAAGACAAAGATTACAGTTTTTTACTGGAATCTTGCATGTTTCTATCTTAGAATACCAATCTGTTTTCTTAGGAATGGAAGTGTTTTAAATTTGCTTGTGTAATGGCTTTAGACTTGTTGACCTTCCTTTGTGCAGACATGTGCCTTGTTTGAACCACTGGACATTTCACACACTGCACTGATAGAACTGGCTGACCTGTGCAAAAGCAAATGATTCAGATGTAGAAACATAGAAACAGAGCGAGTCAGAAGGGGTCTCCCAGGCTATCTAGTCTGACCCCCGACTCCAGCTGGCTCCGCTCACAACATGTCCACCATGTGCATGTCAAAAAATGTTTTAAAAACCTTGAGCAAGGCTTGAGCACTTTGGGCCCAGTAGTATCCTATGAACTTGGATGATTTTATGCTGAAGTAAGCATTACAAATGATGGAGGGAAGAGATGTGTACAATTGCATCAAGTCTATGTACCTCTTCATTGTCCCACCCCTATATTTTAAATCACAAAGACGTCTGGTTCCATTTGCCTTTTGACATCTGTCAGGCATAACCAATGGGGAAAACAAACTGTCCTCCTTCCTCTATGGGGCCATGCCCAACATGGGTATCTGCAGTATTTGTCAGAAGACACTTCTATGCACGTTGCTCACCTGAGGCTCCCCGTTCCTGCACCTGTGCAATGATGAATGTTTGCAGTTTTGAAAGTACAGGCCAAACTAAATAATTTTCACAAATATTTGTGAAAATTAAGAGGGACTGTCTCTCTCTATCTCTCCACACGCACGCGTGCGCACGTACAAATGTACATAGGTGTGGTAACTACCAGCAGCCCCTCCAAAGGAACATCAGGACACACTGAGCAGACTCCTGAGGTCTGGCTGGCTTTTGCAATCTGAAGAAAACTAAAATTAAAGTTGGGGGAAAGACCCTGGGGTAAGCTCAAAGCAACACATAATCATGGAGAGAGCAAAGGACGCCAATGCCAGCTGCCCCAAGTTCCCCTTGAGCACTTGTGGGTGGCTGGCACTGGCAGGCATAGGTCTTTCGGCCGCCCCTGCCCAATTGCTCAAAAGCTGATTCCCCAAAGCCACGGCGGGGCTGGTTGCCTGGATTCAGATGATGCAACAACTAGTTGTAGGTAAAATAACCCCTACAATAACCCATTGGGGAAATCACTCTGTACCTGCACAACACAACACTATGTTGTGGGTATTATTCCACAATGGGTTATGTCATGCAAATTTAGCTTCTGTGTTGTTTTATTATTGACAAAATGTATAAAAGCTTCCCAGGTTTTCTAAAAACAGTCTTTGTGATTTGCAGACCTAGCCTGTCCAACCTGACATGATAATTTCTCCAGTAATGCAATAGACCAGAGTTTATTCCTTCCTGCTGAAAGAGAGCAGTTATAATTGAGTTCTCTCCAATATTCTGTTCATATTTGATACAGAAAATAATCTAAGACATAAAGTTCCCTTAACATTTATATGGATAGGAGCATGATTTAACAATCGCATCCTTTTGGGGAACAGGGTGTTAATCTCGATGAAAGCATACATGACACAGTTGAATCTTCATTCACGGATAGGCAGTTTGAAGCAAGCAGTAGTTATGTTATCAGGGAGCCTACAGATCTTCAAGCAGGTTCTGGATATGTTCACAAGTACTATTAAAATATACAATAAATAGGTGGGGGTTGGACTACGATAGCAGCTGTCTGCCTTTGCATAGGTAAAGATGCAGGGCTACAGCCAGAAAGCACTGCCAACTTCACAAAGCGTCTACAAGTGCTCATTTCCCTGCAAGCAAAATGCATACACCTATCCCTGCAAGCGACATATGAATTGAGGTAATAAATGAACAATAAATAATTTAACCAAGCGCTATGGATATTAAAAAGCTGGGATGGGGGAGGCCTGCTACCAAGCTAGTCTGAACCGCCCGCCCTGTGTGGTGCTCTCTGGTGGTATGGATAATCCAGCCTGAATTCCCATATTGATGACGGCTAACCCTAGCCATATGGTGCTTGTGGGGATACTAGCAGTGCCCAGGGGACAGTGAGGGACCCGGCGTAGGGTGACTAATTATGACAGCAAAGAGGCAGAAATGATCCAAGCTTTATGTGATTAGATCATTCTTGGCCAGTGTTGCTTTGCAGTGCATCAGAGACAAGAAGAAGCGGGTGGGGGAGAACTGGTTTTACAGGATGATTGTGTGCATTGTACTATCCTTGGAACTAACCAATGCCAGATTTTTCTTTTATGAAAAAGGCAGTGCTGTTAGTTTTTGATGATTGAAACTCCCTGATCTGTGACCATACATTTCCTGATTTCTCTGCCCTGTCTTCTACTATATGAACGTTTTTCTTCCCCAGTTTAGTTACTCCTTCTATCTAAGGTGGTTTTTCAATGTTTCTGCATTGTGTTCCCTCATCACTTTCCCTGCACACAGTTGCTTGTTATTGCATTGAGAAGCCCAGCCATTTCTTCTTCTTCACCACCTCCTTTTAATTCTCCCATCAACCAGTTTTCCCTCTCTCATGATCTCTTACTTACCTTTCTCCCTTTAATTGACTCATTTGTCTCAGTGGGTGTGATTACACATTGCGCTAACTCACCTGACTTGACATGTGATTGAGCTCGCCGTGGCTTGTTGGCTGCCTCCTTTCCCCTCCTTTTCCACAAGTATCCCAGGCCAGGGGACTCTGTGGAAGTATCACATTATCTCCTTGCTCCTTATGCCAGGGTAGAATTTTATTTAGATGCGGACCCTTGGGGCTTTTCGGTCTTTTGCCCCTGTCGTTCCCTAGACACTGTGCTCTTGATGGGTGGAGTTGCCTAGTCTTGGTGAAGTGCTGCCCGCCCTCCCCTTCTTCTTTCCCCCTATTGTCTTAGACCTCAGGCCTGATGCAGCCTCTGATCACTCACAGTTCTGCACAGCAGCAAGTGTACTTTAGGAACTTTTAGAAACATTAAGAAATGGTGTTTGTTTCAGGATGAAAACAGGAAACCCTTTCTCATGTGTGACACTCTCCTGCCTTCACACAGTTGCACAGAAGCATAGAAACAGAGCGAGTCAGAAGGGGCCTCCTGGGCCATCTAGTCTGACCCCCGGCTCCAGCCAGTTCCACTCATGACACGCCTACCATGTGCATGTGTTAATCTAATGGGGAGTGGTGTGATTGTGGTGCAGAGAAAGCACAGAAGAACATCTACTTGAGCTCAAATTACTGTTTGGCTGAAGAAACAGCTATATTAGTAAGATCAAAATTGACTCCATCATTGTAGTGTTGTTTTTAATTTTGTATTCCTTTTTGCTCCTGCACATCTCAGTCCAATTAGAATGATTCTTTATCCTTGGAAGAGACAAGGAAGAATTTAGTTCACGGATAGTTAAACTTCCCTGTCATCTTCTTACCTTATATTTCATTCTGATTTCAGGAGATATTAAAGCAAAAGATCCTACATTGTGCCATCAAAACTCTGAACACTATTTTGTACCTTTTGGACATTTATACTGGCATGCTTTATGTAAAACTGATGGGAGTTGCCCTAGTCGAGGCAATGAAAATCCCCTCACCCTGGCTGATGGTTTGTAAGTTAAAGAGTATCACAACCTGATAGCCAATTTGGACTGAAAATCAGTTTTGATCATTTAAGGAACTTCAGGGAGTGCCATCAATGATCTCTGTTTCCCTAATTTTCTCTACTCAGGCTGGGGACTGCCATGCTCTGGAAAAACCTTCTTGACATGGCCAGGCGTTCCAGCTAGCCCAGACATGAAAGGAGAAACTGTAGCATGTTCCTGGACGCCCGTACCGCAGAGCGCAGTTTCGCCATGTGACCGGTTCAAGCACGCCTGCTGCATCTGCAGGGGGTTTCTGTATGTTTATGGTGGCCGGCAAAGCACTACTTTGAGTGACTTTTGGAGGTGCAAGATAGGTAAGGTTTTTTCTTCACTGGTCTCATTATGCCATTACATCAAATTTCCACAGACTGAATTCCCACAACCCTGTGGTGGTTACTATATAACATTGCGATCTGAAGCTTTCTGTCATGTGCCGATTCCTTTTATAGCCGCATTTTCTCTCCAAGCAAAATAGGTAATATTATTGAGTAATCTTGAAATCTAATAAAATTTATCATATGACAACTGTGTGGCTTGGTATTCCAAACCCTCTTTTAATATTCAATTTGTTTATATAAAGATGTGCATACTGCCCTACAGCCCTGTTTTTATGTGGGTTACATAAAAATAAAATATTAAATATGCAACATACTAAACCAACGTAATGCAATAAAAGCAACCGCAACTATTTACATTTTAAAAGCCTAAGAGAATAAAAATGCAAGGAGGGAGTTCCATAAATGGGATGCCACTACTAGGAAGATGTTCTTTGGTTACTCTCTATCTTGCGTCAGATGGCAAGGGCACCTGTGAAAAAAGCAAATAACTTTGGCTGTGGGATGATCATAGGTTCTTCGTCGTGGCCTCTGTGCATCACGCATATGGGTGCTGCACCTGTGCAGTGCCTTTGGCCGCAAGATTGATAGCTAATGGTTTTGGTGGGAAGCTCCGCTCCCCCTCCCCCTTATAGCTTATATAGAGCAGAGCGTCCGCCATTTCGTTCAGTCTTTGCGACTGCTGTTTGTTTGTTGTGCCTCGTGCCGCTTTCGCTCTCACTCTGACCATTTCTCGTTCTACTCCCAATTATTCTTCTTTCCAAGTTTATTATCCCCTGTTTTTCCAGTTCCTGTTGTTTCTCTTGTTGTTCTTCGTTACTTATTCACTTCTTTCTAAAAAAACCCCAAAAAAACCAAAAATATATTATTACCCGCTGCACTATCTTCTCCTTTTCCTTTTCTACGATGGCGCAACAAGCGGCTTTCTGCAAGTGCGCGGAATGTGGGTCTAAAATATCTCCTGCAGACCCGCATGACCTATGCCTTCCCTGCTTGGGGGAAGGGCATAGAACGGACAAGTGTTCTCACTGCCTGGCCTTTTCAAAGCAGGCCAGGAAGAACCGTGAGAACCGCCTCCGGAGACTTCTGTGGGACCGTGCACTCCTCCAGTCGGACCCACCAGTATCTGTCCCACTGGCCTCTTCTTCTGTGGTTCCGCCCTCATGCCCGTCAGACGAAGGCGCGTCCACCATGGGCGATCGGCCTGCTTCCTCACCTAAGAAGAAGCATGAAAAATGGAAGCACACTGGTTCCGATAAGCCGCCTGACCATAAGAAGGCTAAAAAAGACAAGACTGGGAAGCCACCTCAGAAGACCAAGAACCCTGAGTGCCCCAAGCACTGAGAATCAGGTTCGTCGGCCCCTTCGGTCCCGACAGCTGTCGCGGTACCGACACCACTGGGCCCAGCTCTTCAGGAGGCCATGAGGGTTACCCCTTGCGGGTCCCCTCAACACATGGGTGAGCTTACATCGGAGCCTCTCCAAGCTCCGCCGAGGGAATCGATCTCCGATGGGGAGATTCGGGATTCCCCACCCAGGGCTAGGTCCCCCACGCCTGTGCCCCCAGCTAGACTGGAAGCAGATGTGGAGATGTCTCCTCCCAGGAGCTGGAGAAGTCACTCGTTCGAGAGATCAGAGGGATGGTACAATCCTCAACCTTCGCACTACCATGGATGGGGGGACGGCCATTCCGTCGGGCACTATCCAGCCCCGAGAGAACGTTCCTCTCCACCGACACCTCGCGACCACCCAGCATCTTCGGTCCCAAGGCGTACTTCTCCGATACGGACTATGGAGAGCAGTCGGTCCTTATCACCAGCAGAGTCTTCCTCCTCAGCTCCTCCATATTATGGGGTTGATTCAGACGACTCCGACGTCGACTCCACCTCCCCGGATGTCACAGTGACCTCCCAGGGCCCTGGGTCTCCTGACAAATCCCACATTTCCTTTGCAGAATTAATGTTGCATCTGGTCCAGTCACTTGAAATCGATGCCGTACAATGGCCTGGCCCCAGTATGGACAAATTCTATGATGTCGTCCATGGGGAATAGTCGACGTCGATAGTGCTGCCGCTCATCACTACCTTGTGGCAGGCTATGACCCAGCCGTGGGACCTGCCTGCCCACCCCCAGCCAACTCCAAGGAGGTACGAATCCATGTACTGAGTTCGGGAGGAGGACATTCCGTTCCTCCTCCATCATCCTAAACCGAACTCGGTCGTGGTGGAGTCCTCCCAGGGCAGGGAATCAAGGGGTCATACCGTGCCCCGAGACAAAGAAGGGAGAAAAATTGACTCCCTGGTTCAACGAGTCTATGCCGCTTCTGGTCTCGGGCTCAGAATATCTAATTATGAGGCAACACTGGCGAGGTACCAGTATTTTATTATGCAGCACCTCAACAATGTCATCTTGGCCGTTCCGGATAACCAGGGCGATCTCGCAAAAGTTTTTATAAAGGAGGCCATGCAAGTCATGGTTCAGTAGTTGTCCACTGCTCGACACCACATGGACATGGACTCGAGGGCCCTGGTCGGTGCTGTCTCCCTCCGGAGGCATGTGTGGTTGCACAATTGCAACTTTCCGGAGGAGATGAAGAGGTGGATAGAGGAGATGCCCTTTGACAGGTTCGGGCTCTTCCATTCTAGGACCGACCACAAACTCAAAAAGATTCACGAGTCCCATATGACAGCCCGGTGGATGGAGCTTCAACCACAGATCTGACGGAAGTGGTCGTGTACCCGTCCCTCCTACAGGCAACCATACCAAACCAGACAGCAGCCTCAACACCGGCAACAACAACAGCAATGCCGCCATCAACAGCCCCCGCAATGATACCAACAAGGCCATCGTCGTTTCGAGGGTGACAGGAGGCAACGTTGACGGGACAGGTGAACCTTTGCTCTCCTTCCTACTCTACCCACCCCTCTCTCATTTGGGGACCAGCTGAGAGGCCGATTCCCCATTTGGAAGTCCATCACATCTGATTGGTGGGTATTGTCCATCATTCAGCATGGATATCGGATAGAATTCAACATCGTTCCTCCATCAAGCCTGATCCGCTTCACCTCATGTTCGCCGGTATTGCTCATTGAAGTTCGACAGCTTCTTCATAAAGGAGCAGTTCGTCAATTAACTCAGATGGAAGGACTTCATGGATTCTATTCGAGATATTTTACGGTCCCGAAGCGGGATGGTGGTCTTCGTCCAATCTTGGACTTACGGAATATTAATCAGTTTATCACAACGAAGAAATTCAGGATGGCCACCCTTCAAAATACCCTACCGTTGCTGAGGAAAGAGGATTGGTTCGCCTCCTTGGACTTGAAGGACGCCTATTTCCACATTTCCATTCATCCTTGTCATAGGTGTTTCCTTCGTTTTGCTGTCGCATCCCAACTCTTTGAGTTCACGGTGTTGCCTTTTGGACTGGCTACTGCTCCAAGAGTCTTTACTAAGTGTATGGCTCCTGTCTGTGCCTTTCTACAGCTGTGGGGTGTTCAAATTTACCCTTATCTTGATGACTGGTTGCTAGTTTCCCAGACCAGAGAGGGACTTCTTGCCTCAATACGTACAACCTGTAGCCTGCTACAGGACCTTGGACTTTGTATTAATACTGAGAAATCTTCTCTTCTCCCTGGACAGACAATTACTTTCATCGGAGCCTGTCTGGATTCTACGATGGCAAAAGCCTTCCTCCCTCGGGACAGACAGCAGACTCTTACTCGACACATCCATCGAATGCAATGAGATATGACGGTTCCTGCCCGGTCCATCCAGAGACTTTTGGGACATATGGCCGTGTCAATTGCTGTGGTCGCACATGCCAGACTTCACCTTCGTCCTTTTCAGCTCCTATTCAACAAAATGTTTCGGCTGCAAAGGGATCTACCAACAAAGTTGATTTGGATTCCATCCTCTGTTCTTCACTCTCTGCTCTTGTGGACAGTTCTGGCCAACCTTACTGTGGGGGTTCCATTCTGACCCCAATACCCTTCAGTGAGCATCGGTACCGATGCATCCCTACTGGGATGGGGAGCAGTGTGTTCCGATCCACGCACTCAAGGTGTGTGGAATCATCAAGAATCCAGCAATCATATCAATTTCTTGGAACTCCTGGCTGTATTCAAGGCTCTACATTCGTTCGAGGATGTTCTTCAACATCAAGTTGTTCAGATAACCTCGGACAACATTGCTACGGTTTTTTATCTGAACAAGCAAGGTGGGACAAAGTCACCAACTCTAGCCAGATTGTCGATGCAAATCTGGGAATGGTGCATCCCGAGAGACATTACTCTGGTAGCAGTACACCTTGCCAGTACAGACAGTGTGGAAGCCGATCTTCTGAGCAGACACATGTCCACATCTCACAAATGGGAACTAGACCCCAGACATGTGACCACCTCTTCCATCACTGGGGTTTCCCAGACATAGACTTATTCGCCACCCGATAGAACAGGGTATGCGAGACTTTTTGCTTGAGAGCGGGAATCGGACATGGATCATTAGGGGACGCCTTTATGATCCCTTGCAACAATCTGAAATTTTACGCTTTCCCTCCGATCCCCCTCATTATGAAAGTGATATTGAAGATAATCCACAACAGAGCCATGGGACTGCTGGTAACTCCATGGTGGCCATGCCAAGCCTGGTTTTCAACGCTTCTTCACATCTCTCAAGAAGAATATCTTCATCTTCCACTCATTCCGTATCTCATAACCCAGCGAGAAGGCACAGTTCACCATCCGGATTTAACGTCGCTGAAAGTGACAGCCTGGTGAATCCAATAACAATTGATACTGACTCGGTACCGATGGTATCTGCATGTGATCCGAATCCTGTCCCCCGATTTGACATGTTGCCCCATACTTCGAATCCATTCGTCTTCCCCACTTCATCAGATCCAACGAACGTCCCGTCGGATCTGACAATTTTTCATCCGGACGTTCAGCACATTCTTGATTCTGCGTTAAAGCCGTCAACATGGAAGTCATACGCGGCTAAGTGGCGACGATTCTCTACTTTTGGCGAGTCTTGTTCGTTTCTCCCACTCTCAGCATCCATACACCAAATCCTTCAGTTCCTATTAGAACTCCACCATTCCGGACTGAAGCCGTCTTCTATAAAAGTGTACACTGCAGCAATCTCCTATTACCATGGCACAGTTCAAGGTTCCTCCATTTTCTCACAACCACTCATAAAGAGATTCCTTAAGGGACTTTATAACCTTAACTCGACGGTCAGACCAGTGATGCCTACGTGGAGTCTTTCAGTGGTCTTGCAAGTGCTTACACGAGCTCCTTTTGAACCCTAGGTGACAATCAATTTACGTCTTGTTTCTTGGAAAACAGCATTCCTTGTAGCAGTTACATCAGCTCGAAGAGCTAGTGAGCTCTGTGCTCTGTGGGTAGATCCTCCATATTTAAATTTCCACAGGGAGAAAGTTGTTTTGCAAATGGATCCATCCTTTCTTCCCAAGGTGGCCACCTCCTTTCACATTGGACAAGACGTTGTCTTACCTGCCTTCTTTCCGTCCCCGACAAATCCACTCGAGAGATCCTTACACACACTTGACTCTGCCTGGCCTTCTACAGATCAAGGACTGAGTCTATTCGACGTTCCAACAAGCTTTTTGTCAAATACTCTGAGCAAAATCAGGGCCTTCCAGTTACCCCTCAGAGACTCTCCAAGTGGATAGTCCACACAATTACTCTATCCTATCAGTTGGCTAGGATTGACTTACCTACAATTCCAAGGGGTCATTCTACTAGAGCTGTCGCTACTTCTGCCTTTGCTTCGGGATTTCCAATAGACGACGTCTGCAGAGCTGCCACTTGGGCTACTCCATGTACCCTCACTAAGCATTATCGGCTAGATATTCGTGCCGGACAAGATTGCTCCTTTGGCAGAGCCGTTCTCTCGTCTATTCTTCGTTAAGGACACCTCCCCTCCTCCAATAAGGGTAAGCTTGCTAATCTACCCATATGTGTGATGCACAGAGGCCACGACAAAGAAAAGCAGGTTGCTTACCTGTAACTGATGTTCTTTGAGTGGCCATCTGTGCAGTCACACAACCCGCCCGCCGGCCCCGCTCGGTGTCGGTGAGTGGAAATATTTCATCGGTACCGTACCGCTTTTCATTCATGGTACCAATCTCATCTTTAGTAAGGACTCCTTTTTTCCGCATGAGGGTGAACATTCGGTCTTCAAAGACTGAACAAAATGGCAGACGCTCTGCTGCATGAAAGCTATAACGGGGAGGGGGAGCGGAGCTTCCTGCCAAAACCGTTAGCTATCAATCTTCCGGCCAAAGGCACTGTGCAGGCACAGCACCCATATGTGTGACTGCACAGATGGCCACTTGAAGAACATTGGTTACAGGTAAGCAACCTGCTTATCCAAAAACCCAGGTGGGCTGTTAGAGCCAACAGTGCTAAGTCACTTCCTCCTACCATAGTCCTCTGTCCTGACATTATGCTATCCATTTCCCTGTTCCCGCTGTGAATCTTCAGTTGTCAGTAGACAAGTTGAACCATGTGTTACAGAGGGTGAAACTTGGAATTGGAGACAGTGAATGAAAGACAAACTACCAGAAATCAGTGGGTGGGAGAACAAAGTTGACCACCTGGGATACCCTGGAGGACTTGATTTGGCCCATGAGCCTGAGGTTCTGCACTCCTGTTGTAATTCCATCTGGTGAACCTCTTTTCTGACCCTTGGTCAGAAATTGGCTGAAAAAGACTCCATCAGATGTGGCTTGAAGGACTGTATGTGGCCAAGAACGTAGATCTCTTTTTCTAGAAAAGCCATGACAGAGACTTTTGCTAGTAGCTAGGTCCAGTGCTCTCCAGCAATGGAGACCTGGTGTGGTGAGAACTATCCCTAGACCTGAAGCTCTGCGCTTGTTTTCTACCATGCAAGCTCCTAAGATACCTACCTCAAAGCATCACAGTGTATGCCAATCCATGTTTCATTCACTTTGTATCTGGCCCTCCTTAGGAAGGAATAGGCTAATTGGTTTCATGGTCCGTTTCCTACCTTAACAAGCAATAAAAATGTTTTCCAGTGAGTAAGGAGTGGGAGAGGCTGGACAATTCAGAAGATGGCCCAGAAGAACTGGAGGAACACACAATGGTGGATTACCAGGCAAGCCTGAATTGTGCCCATCCTGTCAAATACTGTAGTATCTTCTCCTTTTAGTCACTTTGCTTGCTGTCTTGTGCCTGGTGCTGTTCCATAGGGAGGTGTCCCTCTGCAGCAAGATAGCGGGTCCAGCCTGCTGCTTCATGTGGAGCTCTCTTGTCCTTTCCCCAGAAGCAAAGAGACCCTTCCCTTAAGAAGCTGCTGGGCATGAGTAAGAGATCCCTGTGCAAGCCAGTGAAGGGGTTAAGCCAGGGACTCTAGGGGTGAGGAGAGCCCTTCTTGCCTAGCCAGGTTCGGCTGCTTGGTTCTTTCACAGGCTTCTTCACAAATTGATATCTATAGCTATATACCTGTATACTTGGGAACAGAGACTCATGTTTAGGATGTATGCAGCCAACACAGTTTTTCCTCCGTTTGATTTTACAAGTGCAATGCGCAAACAACAAAAATTACGTGCTTGCTCTTTGAATATTGTTCTCTCTCAGTAACATGGCTGCTTTGGTGTAAGGGAATGACAAAAAATAGTCTGTTTTGGAGGGACATTAGTTACAGGGGTTTGGAACACAATTTTCCCCAGAAAGCCACTCATTATTTTTAAACTTACCAGAGCTTATTTAGATAGTGGAGTCCCTCTGTTTGGAAGTTGCTCTCAAAGCACGTTGAACCCTTCCAGGCAAAGAGCTGAAAGCCTCTCATCGGCTTCGAGTGGGCAGCCTCTGCCATGTCAAGGGCTTTTGTGACTGCCACCTGCATTCGTGGCTGGGCTCAGATGAGAGGCTTGAAAAGGCGGGTGAGCCTCCCGCTGCCTTTGGGTGCCACCACTGTGGCGGTCACAGCCCACAGGATCCACCAGCCACAACTTGTGTCCCTCCCTGCAGGAATCCCAGGGCAGCTGAGTGAGATGGCCGTCACCTTTCTCTCGATACCAGCAGGGAAGCATCAAACCAGATCACTGAAATGGGGAGGCCTTAAACCAGGGGAGGGCAACTTCAGGCCCAAGCTGGGCCCCAACTTGGCCCCATAAACTTTGCATGCCTTACGTGGGCCTCACCACCCGTCTTACCCAAATCCTGTCCATGAGGGCAAGCAGCACAAAGGAGAATCAGAGATCAGCTGAGGAGCCTCCTGCATGGCTTCCTGCAGCATTTGCATCCCAGCTGAGACCTTTTCCACTGGTGCGGGGAAAAGGTGCCTGACTTGACTGGCTCCTGGAAACCGCAGCTGAGCCCTTTCCTGTTCACAGCAGGCACAAAGCTCCCTGCCTCTCTCTGCACAAATATTTTTTTTAAGCAAGGGGATGGCTGATGCGATCATGGGAGGGGGTGTGGCTTTGAAGATGAGGCTCCACCCCCTTGACATCTTCTGGCCTGCCAGCTGGGTCCTCAAGGGAGGGGGCCTGGCCCCCAAACCAAGTCTGACTGCCCTTCCCTGCTTTAAACTGTGGCTGCATCCTGTGTTCTCAGCCTACAGAAAGATTTAAACCTCGCCATCGCTGTGTGCCGAGCTGTGGGTGGAGGAAGGAAGTGTGTCAGCGGACCTGACCTGCCGCTTGGCTCATTGAGGCTAAACTGGTTGCCTGCCCTTGTTTAAACTGTTATACCATGCAAGGCTTGTAGCCTCCAGTCAAAGACATTGCATTTAAATCATTCCCAAGTATTATCTCAAAGAGGAAGCTTCACACCACCATTAAAATATGTGCCTTGAAATTAGAATCAGTGAGTAAATAACCCAGATAGTCAGAAGTATATTATTGATCTTGGGGTCTTACTGATGGCTTGTTATAAATGTTCTGCTAACAGGGTAATATTTACCTGCAGTGACTGCAGGAGTTTGTATTAGTAAGCAAGCATTTCAGCTGTAGATGATTTATTTCATTTCTAACATTTTCACATAACTTTAGCCAGAAATGATGGCTTGGTAAAGGGTAAAACAGTGCATCTACCCTATGCCTTTCCTTATCAATGAATGAAGATTTATTTCTGAGGATTCATGTCAGGCCAGAATGGAGAATTATTTACTTTTTCACAGGGGTGGAAAAGAATGCAGTGCACAGGATGCAGGTCCTTGATGTTCTCACACCAGTTTCCTGCATCTAAAGCAAAAAAAAAAAAAAAGGCAACTCTTATGTACTGTGTGTGAAGTAGGCTCACAAATACAGCCTCTTTGTCTAAATGGGTATGAAGAAGTTCTGAATGTCTGTTGTTGGGGTGCTGCTTAGATATTCCAGACTTACACTGAATTCATTTGATTGCCGAGAACTTTAGGAAATGCAAGTAATGAACAGAAAACCATCACTGTATTGCAGGGTGTCCTCTATATCTTTGGTGGAATGGTAGATTCTGCTTTCACACAGAAGAAGAATCCTCTCTGGATGTATGACACTGGTATGGAAAATAAGTAGTTTCATCATGTGACATCACACACGTTTTCCCTCTAAAAATGCAGTGTTCTGCAGAGGTATGTGTGTTCCAGTACAGACACAATCCTGTGCTGGTTTAGAGAGAATATGGAAGGAAGGTGCTGGGAGGTGTAAGACCTCTCCTTTGAACAGGTGTAGGATTGTGCCTTAAATGCCTTAAATTTGGTGAATATTGTGTGAATGCCTGAAATCAGATATATTTGTCTCTTCTGGGACATCATATCAGTGAATGTTGACCATCATGGTAAACCATTAACATTCACCTGTGTATCAGGGATCCTGAACATTTCTCTGACATTGTCTGAAGTTTGGTGGAGTCAGACATTTGACAGTATAATGTAATAGCTATTTGAAGTAATGGTGTACTTGGCTTGTACATTTATTAAAATAATAGTAAAAATAAGTGGATCATGTACATTTTACACAGTAGCTTGTTAACATCTGCTTCTTTGCATTGCAGCCTGCTTTCTTTTGTGTACATTTTTGCTGCAGCTTAAAAGTTATCAGCATCATCACTGGTCTTGCATCAGAAAGTTAGCCTGAAATTATGAATTCAGTTGTGGACAAAGCAGGGCTCTCTCTTCATCTGTCTCCATCAGAAACCTTACAAATACTTTACATTATGAAACTATAGAAAATTGTATTAGTCTGGGTCTATTTTAAGATTTTTGTAGGTGAGTCTTATAGTAATAGAAGAGCAATGCTGAGTCTAAAGTTCCTTGAGGGAAAAATGCACAGTAAGGCTTTTCAACAGCCCTTTGGTTAAAAAAATACCAGTGGGTGGTTGTTGTGCATGACCAGGTACACTGCCTTCAGCACACCCTCCTCTTCCACTTTGTAGCATAACTCACAATTTCTGTTGGTCGAGCAGTGTGATCTGCATACCCAGATCGCTGGGTTGTTTAAGGGATAAATAACCCAGTGGGTTTCCCAACAGGAAAACTTGGGTTAAGCGTTGGGTTGTTTAACCTGTAATCAACCCAGTTCTCACCCTCATGTTCTTATATTCACAAGGGCTAATTTGGCTGAATAAACCTATAGTCAATGACAGTCTGAGAAAGTCTTGACTTCTTATAAAATGCTTGAATCCTGCACCTTCCTTCCATGAACAGAAGGCCCCCTTTCGTCCTCAGGAAGCTTCTGATGTGGCCAAGCATCTCCATTGCTGCCATGACGGTCTTCATCAGTTGCTTCCCTCCCACTGCAGGTCACCCACCTCCTGTGCACATCTGCCCCAGAAGGGTGGGAGCCTCCAGCGCCAATAGGGAGCATGACACTGGGGACTGCCGAGAGAGGGCACAGGAGCTTCCCCATGGCCCAGCCCACCTCTGGGCGCAACACCATCCAGGAAATATTTCTGCCAGCTCAAAGAGGAATGAATCCAACCCAGCAGCTTTAGCTTTTCTGAGAGTATGTTTACAGGGAATATTTACTGTTGACTTTTCTGTACTTGTTGTTTCCAGCAATTTGCTGCTCTTATTTTCATTTCTATACTGCTCAGTAACTGAAGCATTCTGACTGGTTCATAACTCATCATAGGTACAAAAGATGCAATTTAGGGTGACAAATGGCAGGATTTGCAGATGGAGTCTCATCTCTCTACTTCACCCTGATACATGGTCATGCTTCCTTCCATAATAGAATTTGGTTATATTACAGGTAGTGCACCTTTATCAGGTGTTCTGGTTTTTGCCCTTAGTCTTGAAGTAATTATTTGGGGACAAAAAGCATTTCATGCATAGGATACAGTTAGAAGTTAGAAAAAGCTGGAATGAGAAATGGGATTCGGCAGCAGTGATACTTCATTTTAACTTACCCAACACACATTTTTCAGTTTATAACAAGCCTTTCCAATCTGCTTTAGATGTAATGACAACTCATTACTTTAAAAACTGAAGGACTGCTGGTGGGGGGAAGAAGCAGGCCTGTAGCATGCCAATCTCTCCCCTTTACAACATAACCCATGATTGACTCCTTGGTTGTATACTGTGACGTGTGAACTCAGACTGTTTATCTACCTGCTTTATATCAAGATGACTATGAGTGTTTATAAACATTTTCCCCCTGACAACTTTCCATAGAACAGTGAGTAGTAGAGCAAAGAGAGATCCTGGCATTTCTCTGTATGTTGACTGTGCCTTTTCTATACCACTGGAATGGATGTTGTGTCTGAAGGAACTGTGACTGGCCGAGGCATCCAGCCACAAATTGAATGACATGTGGTAGCACCTTTCAAGGACTGTGGAAAAGGCATAGCTAACCTGTGGTTGAAATGCATGGGATTGTCTTTTTTACTGTAATGTGCACAGTCCTCCAGTCTCCACTAGAAGACAGCAAGAAGAGATCACAGAGGGACATTAGTGTATTTGGAAAACCAAATCGCAGAGCCTTTTCATCTACTCCTTTTGTCTGAATGGCTATTACTAGTCCTAGGCCGCAACAACTTCATTTCTGGTGGCAAAGAAAAGGGATGTGTTAGTCATCCCTAATTTAATTTGAAAATGGGCTTCAATGAAAGACTTACCAAGCAAAGGTTAAAAAGCAATTCTTAAGATTTTGTATACCGTACTATATTCCTAAATCACACCCGTGGCAGCTGGTGGGATGCTTGGAGAACAGAATGCTGGACTGCCAGATAAACTTGGACTGATCTGCTGCATGACTTGTCTTGACATGCACATGGTGGGCACGTCGTGAGCAGAGCCGGCTGGTGCCAGAGGTCAGATGAGATGGCCTGGGGGGTCCTTCTGACTCGCTCTGTTTCCATGTTTCCCTTACTGTGCCTTCCTTGGCATTACGCGTGGAGCAAGAGTGCCCCCTCGTGGCTAGTAGTGTAACAATTACTTTATTAAAACTGCAGATTCAACCAAGTGGATGGAGTGCCAGCTCACAGCAGTGGTGGAGGGTGAGGTAAGAAGTTGGGAAAACAGCAATGTATGAATCACACATGAAACATGTTGCTTTGTGGATCAAACAGCTTGCTTTGGAATATGGTCTGAAAACAGTTCCAGCTTAGGCACAGCCAGGAACGTGCAGCTATAGTCATCCTGTGCTGCTGCTCTCATGGCTTCACCATAAGGGGTTCTCATTACTCACCCATTAGCTAGTAACCCGAGAGGAATCTATATAGTTTTGAATCTTGAACAAAAGTTCACCCTATATGGAATGTGCTAGAATTAACAGGCTTTCCCCATGTTTGTGGGTGCTGTTATCTTTGGAAAACAGGCATACTGCTTGCAAGGAGCTGGACTGGGAAGATGCCAGCTGCCACCATCCATAGAACAAACACATTCACCCAGAAGAGTTCCACCCGCATCTCCTCTCTCTTTGTGGCAAGGGGCAAGGTCTTCTGTGGTGTGGAGCACACTTCCAGCCTGGAATGGCTTTCCCTTCTCCCGAGTGGCAAAACAGATGCCAAGGCTTAGCCAACGTTGGATGCAGGGAAGCAGTCTTGATGCCCCAGGCTTCTCATCCATCAAGCAGGACCAGGGGATCTCTCTCTGCAGTAGGAAGGAGCTTTGGGTTATGTGGTTCCCCCACCCCTGCACAGAAGGGACTGACAAATGGTGCTGTACCACTTTTGCAGAGAGGGCGTGTGGGTCCCTGTACATGTGTGTGCAGATCAGCCCTAAGGCAACATTAGCAGCTTCTGAGGGTTATTGTCTCACTGGAGGGAGAGGGCCTAAGCTACTGCTGTTTAGCAAGGCAAGTGTGACTGTCTCAGAAACATGAGTGCTGTCTGCTTGATTTGCATAGATGTGATGGCAGCAACTGTTAATGGAGATTGTTGGATTGCTGTTTGCAGCGAGCTGTGCCTGTTAATCGGAAAGGCCACAGTGCAGTTATCTACAGGGGCAGCATGTACCTGTATGGCGGATATGTTGACTTTAAAGGCGCTTCTCAAGAATTCTGGAGTTTATGCTTTGGTAAGTTGATGAAGCAAAACCCTTTGAAATGCTCGGTATGGGGGTGTGGAGTTGTGGCTGACTTCAGCTCCAAATTGTGTGTGGAGTTCAGCAGGGATTAGCTACAATCATCATTTCTTTCAGATACAAGGCAGTGGACCCCCGTACCAGCAACACTGAATGGTGGCACTCCAGGACCCAGGCACGGTCACTCTGCTGTGGTTTATCGCAACAGCATGTACTTGTTCGGAGGACTGATGGGGCTGAATGAACAAAAGGACTTCTGGAAGTGGGATTTTCTGGCTGCCAGCTGGTCCAGCATCAGGAGGAGGTAAGTATTTGAGTTACTCACCAACAACTTAGGCAGGAGTTTGGCAAAGTGAAAAGCTGTACCTGCTTCTAGAGAGGTATAAAGCATCTGGTGGAATGTGATCTGAGCTGTACACTACATCAAACATCAAGTTTGTGCCCAGTGGAACTTATTTAATTTTAATGTGCATGTTCTCATAATTCCAGCTGGGATTGAGAGGCCTGTGTGTGCAAGCAGAAAGCTTTTCTAATGTGTATAGGTGCAGGCCTACATCCCACTCCAGAGGTTCTTCCAACTTTCAGAAGGGATTTTAGATGTGGAGGCTGCAGTAGGAAGGGGAACTCAGAAAAGTTCTGATATTCAGGATTGCTTATGTAGTGCTGTGTGGGTGCAGAATCACAGGAGTATGCTAAAAGCTCTTTTCAGTGAGTAAATTTCCCCCAGAAGCAGATAAAGCAGCCTGTCCCAAAACAGTGCCCTCCAGATGTTTTCAGCAACCATTATGTGAATTCCTTGCCATTTGCCATGGTGTCTGGTGCTGATGGGAGCTGAACTCCAACACACGTGGGAGGCTGAGGTGGCGTCTTTTCAAGTAGCACAATGCTGGCTGTCCCACTGTGGCCATGTCCACAACTCAGGCTCAACCAAGTCTGTCCCTACCAAAGAACTGTGGCTGTGGGGATTTGTGGCAGCCAACACTGAAGATGAGCAGCCCTATACAAGTTCTCATGGATACTTTGAGTATTGTATTAGATAAATCACGTGGAAGGAAATGCACGCAGTAGTATAGAGAAGGTAATGCCCTGTTCCATATATTGCATTTAACCAAAGGAATATTTAAAATTTCATGAGCTTCTTTTCTTTTTAAAAATCTGGCATCATTGTGATCAGCATAAAAACATTTTGTCCTTGTGCTCATTTTGTCCCGTGCTTAGCCAGGGGCCTCCCAAAGTGGTGGGACATTCTGCATTAATATTTGAAGATTCTATGCTGGTGTTTGGAGGAGGAGTTTCTAATGCCAGGCCAAGCAGTACTTTGTGGAAATATCATTTTCCGACTCAAACGTGGAAAAAAATGGCTAGCACAACAGATCCTTCATCCAAAGCTTACCATTGCCTGCTGGGTACTGGATATGGTTTCCAAATAACTGCTGATGCTCCAGGGATATCACTCAGCCATCCGAAGGAACAGGGCATTTCAAAGCTAGCGCTCATCTCTAAGAAGCATTCGTGTTTCTGTGACTTTATTGACCGGAGGCCCACATACAAACCATTCAGCAATGAGGATGAAGCTGAAATTGAAATGACTACTTTTTGCCAGTCTCAAGAGGAGCCAGGACTCTGTTCCTTCCAAACCACTTCTAACATAGAACTGAGTGAAAATGAAGCTGCAGACATTTTGTCCAGAAAAGGACACTCATACCTCAGCCCTTTGAGGGAAAAGGAGTTTACCACCGTCAACCCTACGGAGGGACAGGCAAACATCAGCTCTGGGCGTGTGGACAGTAGCTGCCCCTCTGCTGTGCTGCTGCTTCTTGGAGGTAAACCCTTGTCCAGCTCTTCTGCAATCTCATTTTTGCAAATGCAAATAAACTATATGTAATTGGTGAGCATGTAACACAGAGGGGAAAAAACAGGCCTGGCCTTTGTGAAGATGGCCATCAGGAAGAATCCTGCTGACCCTTTTTCTGTGAATGGGAAGTATTTGTTAAGGACAGCCTGGGAAGGAAGGACTCCCGGCATTTTCTGGAGTCTTTCACCTCAGCAAAACAAGCCATGCAGCTTTTCCTGGTGCTTGATACTGAACACTTGGATTAAGCAGCTTACTGAATCATCTGGCAAACTGTCTGGCAAATTGTTACCACAACCTATATCTCTATTTACCATTTCTATAGCAATTTTAAAGCCTATGCAACTAGTCCAATTTTTATGAGAACCCTGTAAAGAGGGTCAGTTCAGCTTCCATGTTGCAGCTGGGCAGTGATGGTAAAAAACAGCAGGCTGAAGGGATGTTTGAGCTGGAGACCTTTGTGGTTCATTCATCTAGTGTCTGCGCTGCTATATTATACCGCTTAATATCCCTGAATGTAACTTGGGGTGGACTTCAATCTTACTTTAATGCCATCTCCAAGTAATTTTCAGGTACAATATCCAAGTTATTTTACTTCCCTTAAAAAAAGAAAAAGAAAAAGCCACAGATTCCCATGTAGTTCTATACTTGTAAAGACTTATGAAAGCAACACTGGTTAATTGATGTCCACACTTCTCTCTCATCCTTTGATGATGCAGAATATCAAAATAGCATTTTCTCCCCAATGTGTGTCATGATATCCTTTACTTCTTTTACTGAGGTATTTAGCTATACCAAATGATACTTGATGACATCTAATTTACGTAAACTTATTTGGATGAGAATGCCTTCCTAACCGAGTATCCTTTATGCCTTAATTGTATTTTTCTGTTCATACACAAGATGGAGCCATCTCCCTTTATCCATCTTTGTATACGCCATCGATTATATTCCATACTACCGATAAATGTTATAGAAAGAAGGGGGTGCCCAGGTTCCGGGTCACAAAGCCGGAGTGTGTGTGTCATTGCATACATTTTTCAGTCACCTCTGAAAAAGTGGGGCAGTGAATAGCCTGTCTGCCCCAACCCACCAACTTTAGGAGACTTCTGTGTGAAGAAAAGACCTATACATTTCCTATAAATTGAGCAGATCTTCAGGGGCTGCAGAGGTGGAAGAGAGGAGAGACTTCCACTGTGCAAGTGGATTTCTACTTGTGTAACAGTGGTTGCCACCCAATGCCAACCCCTCCAAACATCACTTATTTTCACTACAGACAGAAACTCGAGAAAGCAGGAGATTTTGCCTGCATTTTGTAATGTGTGGACAAATTTCTGGTCTTGCTATGTTGTTGTTTTTGTTCTGGAATGAGAATACTTCAAGGCAGCCATTTTGCACAGTTGTGTTATATTTAGAAATAAACTACAACATCATCCATTTGTGATGGATTCCAAGTGGACCACAAATCACAGTTCTTGTTCCCATATACAGATGCTCAGTGTGGTTATTGCAACACATTTTATGGATCTGTCATGAAACACAGTGCACCTTGAATTTATATATACTCACACAACACTTAAAAAAATAAGTTATACTTAGAGCTACCATCAAGCTCTACATTTTTTTGAAGATTACAAATACAGCAGTTAGTGGGTGTGGTTGTTTTTTAAACAAAATACACCATTATTATTACATACTTTTAAGTAAGTTTGTCCAGTTAATGGAAAGAAGTAAGAATAAAAGAATTAGTAAATAAAATACTTAACATACTGAAAGTATGATACCACAATGCCCCTTGTTCCACTTTGATGCATGTGGAAGGCCTATCTTTCCCAACTTTTGTTAATTTCACAAAAAATAGGTGAACATTTTGCTCTAGATCAGTTGCTGATGTTCAGTGTTCAAACATGAGATCCAAGCATTTCAGTCTTCATCAGCAGAGAAACCTAAGTCCTGATGCATACAATTTCTGAGCAGCGAGTCTCTGTATGTTACATAATGTGCCTAGTGGAGCACACAAAGAGACTCGCTGTTGCTGTGTGCTGAAGGGCTGACTTGCACACCTCTCAGCTGGGTTCCTGCAGGTATGAACCTTGCATCTACAGTGCCTATTTCATACATTATTCACAAACTGGAGGAAAGACTTCCAGGTAGTTCTTCGGTATACAAACAGGGTGGACACATGTATATGAACTGAACCTAAGTGTGTTTGGACAATTTAGCTACTTAAGTTGTAGCTACCTCTGCTGTAAACAAAAGTTCAGTTTTGCATGCACTGAGAATGGAAAGGCTTGTTTTGAAGCATTTCTCACTGTGCCTACTTTCTTGTCTGTCATAACCCTCCTGACTTCAGGTAATAATAACCTGCAAAGTACACTGCAACAGAGTCAATCAACCCCCTAAACCTGACATTGTAGCTAAATGATCTGCTAAACAGAGGTGGTGATCAGGTGATTAAGCCTAATCCTCACCTCTGTTGATAGGTATTGCATTTTTGGAAATAGTTTTGTTCTGCTGACCTTACTGTGATAGTTTGGCTACATGAAACAGTTACTAGACAATAAGCAAGGTCACTTGCTTGAAGTGTACTACTCTGTTTGTGCAATTCCTCCAAGGAATTACCAATATCATTTCATGACTAATCTAACAGGGGAAAAGGCTATATTCCACATGCCATTTCCATGGGTCAGATACTGCCTACTTAAACACTTTGAGTTTACTGTTAAACATCAACACAGGTGAGGAGACCATTACTTACAAAATATTCCTTCATCAGTCAAAGTAACAAATGAACTTGGCTATTTATTTAAATATATTGAATTGCAATATTGGCCAAGATTACTTAAAACACTTCCTAATAATTCAGAATTTCAGAATATCAGGGCTGATAGCAGACGTTTCTTCCAACTGATCATTTACCTGAATGCCCTGGGCTTACATCAGACCATCAATTAACAACCATATAACTTTTTAAACTTACCATTGTCTAAAAGTCTACATATAACATTCCACAAACTGGCTAATTTTGCCCTAATACAGGTAAATTAAGGAAATGAAGCTAGCAATTTGGTTAGCAGTCAAACAGCAACTGGTGCTTTCGTACATCTTGTGCAACCCAGTGTCTGAAAATGAAGAACTCAGCACCAAAAATAATGCTATGCCTGTAGTCTTCTAAAGTTTTGATGAGATTCATCAAGCAATTAAGGTTTTATCTCCACCCTGAAAAAATATCTGAGGAGTCTCTCTGAACATTGGCAGTCTTGAACAAACTACCAAAACTGCTTCAAAAGCAAAACACCATTGAGCTCTGGTAACCTGGGGAATCTTGCAGTTAAAAGCTCAGCTACTGGCAGATCTACCTTGCTGATTCCCCCAGCAGAGCCTACTTGATACAGAAACCCGACTCCTTACAAAGCTACAAAAAAGCACAGCAGCTGTTCTTATTTCACAAGTAGCAGTAGCCATTTAAGAAGCGAGGAAAGACAAGAGGGAACAAGCTGTTCCCAGAGTGGATTGGTTCCTCACTCCCCCCCCCCCACCATTGTAGAAGAAACTACAAAAATGTCAGGTTTTTTTTTAAGCTTTGTCACAAAATTCAAGTTTACATACCTTAATAAAGGCAGTTCTTTCATAGTTTTCTTTTTCACAGTTCATTTGGATTTCATATCACACAAGTTTCTTCCATCTGAATATTTTTTTCTCCCATCCATGTAAATGGTTTCTTGAAATAGACATGTTAATAAATCATGTTTCAAGGGGACCTGCTTCATAACGCTTATATCCTCCGAAGCTGCTTTCACAAGTAGAACAATGTAAGTAATCAAACTTAATGCATTCTGTAACTTTCCTGTCCTTGAAAATGTGCAGATGAAATGGGTTAGTTCTAAAACTTCAACCACAGAACTGACCAGTATATTGTTCTGCCTCAACGCAGATAGGATGAATCAGATTACAAATAAAAATGTTAAGTATGAATTAAATTTGGGATTCAGTTAGCTAACAAAAAGCATCCTTCCTGAGTTTGTGGTGAAATTGGTTTCACCATTGATCCACAAATAAGCACTTTTTTTGTAGACAGAGGTGATTTCCCTGAATCACAGGTTTAATTTAAAGAAGGTAGGCTGGGCTGTTGGCATGTTTTGCTTCTGGATTTTTCAGTCTTGCACAAACACATTCCAAGTGCAGTCTCACTTATCACAGCTGAAAAAATGGTTTAAAGTGGAAAGCAAAGGAAAAGGACAGTAGCTAATTAACATGCACTTGTAGTAGAGAAATCAGTCATCGATTCTCAAACCAATTTTAGTAAGTTCAGATTCATTCCATGAAAGTCTATGAACTTTTCCAACAGTCGCTCATGGAAGGGTCCAAAGTAAATTTCCCTTAATCTTTAAGTTGAGACATTTTGTACAGAATAGACCAAAAGGTATCCCACCCACAGACGATGGCAGCCCGACAGCATTGGGTATAAAAATGCTTCATCACCCCAGCTAAAGAGAGCAAAGCCTGCCAGTGGGATAAATGGCTACCGGGTGCTGCATTTTCAGTTCCTTCCATACATTGTGAAAAAAGTGCAGAGTCTAGAAAGTGGATTAAGGCCAAGAATGTTTGACAGGTATCAGTAGAAAGGAAGATCGGAGGGGCGGTCACATAGAAAAGAGGTTGATGTATAAAGATACTACTACTATTTGCTTTTACACCAAAACCCAGCAGGTGGCCTTAGAAGCTCTAATCCCCCCCATAAAAATGTACAGAGCCAGATCGAGCTTGCTGGCTCACTGCAGCAACCACTTTCTACAAAGGTTCTATAAACAAAAGCACATATATGGATGGAAACCTCAGAAATTTCATTACATGTCAGAACTTGTTTCAGTGTAGTTTTCAAGAGATACTCGGGCTTCCCAGCAGCTCTTCGTCCTATAGTCATATTCTAATTCCAGTTGAAAGGATCTACTATAAAAAAGCCAGGCATTTCTTTTTAACCATGGTCTGTGCATGGGTCAATTCCAGGAACCTCTTTTCCAGGAGCTCACTGAAAATGCTCAGAAGATGAGACTTGTCAAGCTCAGAGTTCAGTGGTAAGTAAACACTTTGGTCTTGTTGCAGCATCTTCAGCAACTGGACTGAAAAGAAAGGAACATGTGATACAAACCACCTGGGTGGGAGATGAGGGAAGGGATTCTGTTAAGACTGCTACATTCCTGAACTATGCAGGCTGAAAGGAATTAATCAACTGAACAACCAGCAAAAACTTCCAGTCAAGGTCATTGCAGCGATGCTCTTTAACATGGAATACACACTGTAAATACATTGGTGAGTTGTCCACCATGAGCACCACAAGGGAAGAACTGAATTAGTACAACATTCACTCAGTAAAACAATGTTTCAGTTAGAATTCCAGCAGCATTGCCCTTAACGCAATGCAGCAGCAAGGACAAAACCCTTACCTGGGCATGGTGTCAGGTGAGTACAGTGGAGGTGGGGAGCCAGCCAAGACTGACATTGCCTCAGTGCTGCCTCTCACTCCCTGAAGAGCCAAGGAAACATCATTCCCTAAAGGCCCATTGGAAACCAGACCACTCTATAAGAAAAACAAAAGCAGGCAGGCCAGTAAGGTAGTACAAACTAACATGATCTAAGTGAGGTGGGGAAAGAACTATGTTATCAGCAAATGCATTTGTCCAGCAAGTATCATATTGGCCAAGATAAAACAAATGCAGAAAGGATATTGTAGGCAAAACATTCAATGCATCCTACCCCCACAGATACTCTCCTGCATTCTCTCCTCAACCCATCCCCAACCTTTGCTTCTACTTTCCCCAACTGGGATTAGTTCCAGTCTCAGTACCTGGCTGGGGAAATGGCCTGAAGAACATTTGCATGAATCAATGGGCAAGTCAAAGGAACTAGATTTATCAGGAAGGATTTTTCTGGTCATACAAAGGACAATATTGTGTCGGATGAGCAGAAAGAGTCAGCTATATATGCGGGCCACCCACGGCTGAGAGGTTCCCCATTTCTTTTGCCAACTCTCCTGTGCCACTCCCCTATCCCATCTGTGCTGTACAAAGAAAGCACAGGTTTATGAAGCTGTCTCTTCACAAGCCCTGAAGAAGCTGAGGAAAGTCAACCAGTCTTCACTACCCACTTCAACAAGAATTCCAGGCTACCATCTTCCAGAGAGAGGGGAGCATGGAAAGACGTCAGAATACACAGCACTAGGACTGGTGCCATAGGTGTCACACTCAGCCACAAGGATGGACACTGGCTGATCAAGTGTGTGTGGGGGGGGTGCTCACCACACCCTGCCAAACTAAAGGGGGCAGGTCTACTACACTCGAGAGAGAGAGATACATTACTCCTGAACATCACAGAAGTGGTGGATTTTTAGAAAGCTTAAGATGCAGTCCTATGTATATTAAGGCAGAAAGAAGTCCTTCAACTTCCACCATTCCATAGAGTAGCCATGGCTGTGTGAGAAATGCTGGTATTTGTAGGTTTTTTTTTTTTTTTTTTGCATCTGTACTTACATAGGATTGTACCTTTAATGCTCAAAAGTTTTAAAGGTACATTTTAAAGGAATACAGTTCAGTTTACTATCTACTTTTTAGCTACTCATACTAGTAGTCAGTTAGACATAGATTATTTTTGAATGATTTAAATTCATGTTTCTCAAACACGATTGAATAACTTACTGGCACTAACCACCTGGGCATAACCGTTGATGGAGAAGATACCTAAAAATCAGAAGCAGACAAGATATTAAGGGGGAAAATAGACTTTGAAATGTTTCTTTTGTTCTCACATGTCTTGCCTTGCCACTTCTTTGCCAGTGTCAGTTTGTTTTATACTTTACTTACTCAGGAAGCTCAACGGCAGCCCAAGCATTATCTGTCTGCAACTGCCAGTGATAGGAAAAAGGCAATGCTTAAGGCAGTCCTGCTCCCTGGTTTTATATGAAATTTCATTATGGAAAAGTAGAGTTGGAAGGGACCATGAAGCCCATCGAGTCCAGTCCCCTGCTGTTGCAGGACACCAATTTACACCATCTCACTCTGATGCCTGTCCAGTTTCTTTTTGAATGTCGCTGGTGTGGGAGGCCCCACCGTTATGTTTCAGTGCTTACAGGGTGAAAAGCAAGGTAAAAAGTAGTGAAAAAAATGAAAACAGCTTATATAACACAGCAGTTAATAACTGCATAGCTATTGGTAAATTTTGCTGTGTATTATCTAGGAAATAATTTACCTTAGTTTCAATCCATATTAAAACTATGCAAGTGACACTGCAAAAGTCACGCACCAACTACAGCTATACTGAAGGATGGATTCCCTTCCATTAGCACATAGCTGTACTAGGAAGAGAAAGTGATACAAACAGGACATAGGTAGACCTTTTTCCTTCCATGCAATGCACAGGGCTTTTCTTTTAATGCTTGCTCTATGCTAACAGTTTGTTCTAATAAACAGACAATAAAGTCATTGGTTTGGCAGAGAAATGCTGCCTGGGTAAAACCTGGACAGTGACATTTGAAGTAATTCAGAACTTTGCTTTAGAGATGCACCTGTAATAAGGCATTCTAATGTAACTTTAGTTGCCAGAGGTCATTGCAATACATTCACTATATGAGAAACCAGCACAGAAATGTATAGACTAGAAGCAAATGTGACTTTTGTACAAATGATGAGAAGTATGAATCTGTCAATCATGTTTTCCTTCAAAAATTAACAGCACAATGAAATCTTTTCAGTTCCATTTAATTTTCATCCTTACCCGAGGCATGGCTTCTGAAAAGTCAATTAAATTATCTGTCTGTGATGTTAACAAAATCTCCACGTCCTCTTGAGGGTTCTGCAAAACATAACCACTAATTAAATTATAAACAGTTACCAGACAGAGCTGCTGAGCATTTTTTCCTATTCCATTCATTTTTGAAAAGCTGCAAACAGTCCTTTCCTCTTGCCATATATATTTCAGAGTTTGATACACAAGAATTTTCATTAAACAACCTGAATCCAAGTCACATTGAGACAGTATGAGAACTGAATTGTTGTTATTCAAAAGTTCATAGTCTATACAACAGGAAACTTTGTAACTGGTATTCTGTACAGAAGTTCAGACATATTAGAATATCTGACATTACAATATTTGAGGTCAGATTTGCACACAATGCTAAAACCAGGGGTGGATAATTTCCAGGAAGTGCTATAGTAGCTAAATTTAGTTTGTTTCCAAGCTAGAGCTGTTGTTTTAAATACTCTTAGCTTCAAATGAGCTCTATTTACATTTTTGGCATGCTATAATGCACTGGATGCAACCCTCACTCCCACAAGCAAAAATATGAACTTTTTAAAGGCAGCATAGAGACAATAGGGTGTTTGCAGCCCATCCTCCATATATTGCCCAACCCTAAACTAAACTATAGTTTAGCACAGTGGTTTCCAAAGTAGGTAGTACCACCCTTGCGGGGGCAGTGGAAAGATCCAGGCAGGTGGTGACTGGTTGTTTTAAATTTACAGGAGAGAATCAGACCTAATTTAAGAAAGAGGTGTGAGAGCTAGGGCTACTGTCTAGGAGGAAAGGTAGCAGCAGCCTGAAAAAGTTCAGGGACTTCTGGTTTAGCACCACATCCACAAATTCACAGGCTAAAGTTATCTTGTCTTACTTAACCATGGCTCACACTAATTATGGTTTGGCCCTGTTTAGACATAAGAATAAACAACTTATGATCTAAGGCTCATACACAAAGTGGTAAACTATGGCTTAATACAGGAATGGGAAATCCTTTTTAAGTGAAGGGCATCATTTCCTCATATTGTATCTTTAAGGGACTGGATATCAGGACTGGTGGACCTGAAGCCAGAGCAGATGTAAAGGTGGGCCTCACATTTCTGCAGCCCCCTTTTTTTGTCCCTCAGCTCTCCTTCTATCTCCCCTATCCACGTCCCCATCGTCCTGCTTTCTCTCCCCCTCTCTCCTGCTAACCCTCTTTCCTATTTCGCTTCCTCTCCCTCTCCACCTGTACCTTCCTCCCCGATTCCTCCACACTGAACCCCGTACCTTAAAAAAAGTAGAAGCTGAATATGTGCAAATGGGGAGCCCTTTCCATATCCTGATTCTTGCTAATTGCCAAGGGAAGCAGGCCATAAGTCAAACAAAATGAACGGACACTCCGCTCTATTTATACCACGAAGTGGGAGGGGAACGGAGTTTTCCCACCAAAAACCATTAGCTTTTTAATCTTCCAGCCTAGGCACTGCGCAGGCGCAGCACCCGTATGTGTGATGCACAGAGGCCACGACGAAGAACCAAGAGGTACCACAAGCTGGAACTGGTCTATCGGCTGGAGGTTCAGCACCCCAGATCTAATCTCATATCTCCAAGCTAGGCACAGGCTGTTGCTAAAACTGGACGTGTGACCTGGAACCATTACAGATGAAAAGGAAATGCTGCTCCAGACACCCACAGACTTATCTAATGCATGCAGCCTCCAACTTGGGTCAGCAATCTGAAGAAAACCCCTCCTCTCTTCACAAAGCATACCTTTACAACAGCAGCCTCTTCTACAGAAGCCAGGTTAGGGGGGCTCAAAGAATCCTCAAGGCTAGAGGCAGCAGTATCCTCGTTGAATTCATTCCTGGAAAGAAGAAAACACTTTCCCTAATTCTTTAGCTCGGTTGCAAGACAAGTGACTTCTATGGGGCAAAGAAAAGATTCCTGTCAGAAAGCAAGCACAGCCATTGAAGTCATGGGCATATGAACTGCAGCACCTCACTGCCTGTTTCCCTAAGGAAGCTTTCTGACTTCCAGGTGCCAGCAAGGCACTGCACTGCAGCGAGAAGGCTGTGGGAATCCTCTATCCCAGAGTGTTCTGCTCACTCCTTTGCAGGCCTCCATGGCTTTATGGGACACTTGTGCTTTCAGTAACTGGACAGGAGAATGCCAAAAGCTCTGTCCATTCTGTGGCACATGCTAACATGAACACTGACCAAAAATAGCAGTCTATGAAGGAACCAAACTTTCATTCATCTACTTAAAAAGCTACATTTTAACACAGAAAAGGAAGGCTAGGAATTACCCTGGTTTGTATAAACTTCAACTCAAAATCTTTCAGAATTTATCATTTTATTGCCCCTTAAGAGCAGGTGATGCTCGAATCTATTGCTGTCTGCTGTGAAGTATCACTTGCATCGGTCCTGGAAAAACTGCATCCTTTAGTAAAGTAAAGGGACAGAGGAGAGTGCCTTCTGCATTCTGCAAATGCAGCAAGGGCAGAATTATTAATGCACGGAAAAACTGAGCAGATGTGGAGACCAGAGATGCTCATAATTCCCATCAAAAGCCATGACTGCATTCTCTGAAGTTTTGGGAGAACTCAATTAGAAAGGATACAGAAAATCTTCTTCAGCATATTGGTTTCTATGGAAGCCAGTGGTGAGCAGCTAGAATGCAGCAATACTGCTGCAATAAGAAAGCTGAAAAGGCTTGCTTTAAATACATTTTCCTGCCTTCCTGCAGGCAGTATAAGAAAAGTAGCTTCCAAAAGAAGCTACTTTTTTCCAGAAAAAAGAAAAAAACAAAAACAAAAAAACCCCTGAAATAATCTAGGAGTTAAAATCAAGTTTGAAGCTGCAAACAGAATAAAAACTATTTCCACTGTTCATCTGAAACCATGTAGCATTGGTGCCATCAATAAACCCTTTGAGATGGTTCCAAATCCTGGATGACATGACTGAAAGGGCCATGGGGAAATGGATAGGCTAAACAAAAATGCTTAAAAAAAATTATGCATTTCAGGTTGTTAGCAGGATAGCAACCTTTTGGCAGGGCTACACAGATAGCAGCGACGGTGCCCCTACGAGCAGGTGGCACTCAAGGAAGCAAACCCTCCAAGAAGCAACCTCGAGGTTTCTTTTCTCCCCGCCTGATCAGTTGCCTGTTTGGACTGAGAATAAGCCATGCTCACTGCTCCATGCTGTCAGCTGGAAAAGCAGAATGACTAACCTGACTTGCAATTGCCAAGATTAACTGTTTCGTAGGCCGCCCCGAGGCTTTTTGCGAATGGGGCAGCATAGAAATGTTTTAAATAAATAAATGAGTGAGTGAGTGAGTGAGTGAGTCAGTGCTCAACTGTTTTATTCTTGCACAGGTGATTTAATCTGTGCGCAGTGTCCATGCAGCTTCCTTGCCCTTGGAATATTCCCACCCAGAGCACTTACAGAATGAAGGCATTTGAGACTGGGGTTTCTTTCAGCCCTTCTCTTGGCTCCTGGAACATTGGGCTGTGGGCTCGCAGGGAGCTGTTCTGAACTCTTCCTGAGGGAAGAACGGCCCTGAACAAAAGCAGATCCAAAGGTTTCACTATGAGCTCCTTTTCCCACTCTTTGCTAAAGAACATTCTTCACATTGACATTAAAAGGCCCAGCACCCTGGCACTCCCTCATTGCAAGCGATCTCTTGGCAATTTACATGCCCTGGCCTGTGAGCACTGTGGATTTCAACACAGCAGGATTCTGAATGAGATTGTTCAAACTCTGACAGAAGGAAAAGTAAATGTTGTAAACTAAGTGCATTAAGTAAATGTGTCTGTACCTAGGCATATACATAGACATAATTCATTATTGCAGCACTTGCTAGATATGGGTGGAAGAAAAAAGTGTGCACTGATGTGAAAAAGCTTTGTTGTAATCTCTAGAAGTACAGATGCATTAGATTATGAACAGGGAATCCTGCTCAGATACCTGCTTAGCATGACACTTTAAAATAAAAGCCATGCTTTTCTAGATCATACTGACTTCTGCAATTGAGTTAGTGTATTCACACAACTGCAGAATTCCACTCACCTTTTCATCTTATCCACTTAGCAGACAGAAACCTCTTTACAAATCCTGAGCCTGTGGGAAGCCAATAGCCAGATGCGTTTTTGCATCACGCATGAATGCACTGAAACTAATTCCTTTTCTGCCTCTCTCAGGGGGATGACCAGGAACAGACACTAAGTCCGGGGAATTCCACTATCGAGCTACTCTCCTGAATACACACAGGTGTATTAGTCCTGCATTCCAGGTCAGGTTGCTCCCAAAAACAGTCTTTAATTTTTTAAGGCTTAAGCAAATTCAATGAATTATAAAGGCCAACTCACAAATGTGTTTCATTTTCAATTAAGAATTAATGAAAACTGCAGAAATATCACCCTTTAGTTGTTTTTAAACTACCAATTATCTGAAATTTGAAAGGCGGCTTTTACATAATGGCTTCTCAGTTCACAAAGTGAGTGAAAAAACTTGCCCATGCCACAATGAGTTCGTGCAGAATTTCAATCTCAGCATTCGTACCTGGCAGCAGCATCTTGAACGTTAGTGTTTTTGTTGCTTGACATGCTATCCTCCCTTGTAACCTGAAATAAAACAAAAATTGTAGTTTTACAGAGGTTATAGTTTTAAATGGGATCACTGGCTTGTATTGACCTGACATTCAAACTCAGAACTCTTTGAGTTGTTGAAGCGCAAGTAACTCAGAGTTTTAACCCAATAACAAACAATGAGCTCAAACTCTACTTCTCAACAACTCAGAGTTCTAGGTTCTTCATGCTGCATTCCTGAGTTCTTTATGAAAGCTGATGGCAGCTGGGCAGAAGGCAGCCCAGTTTCTGCATAGCCTCATGCAAAGCAGGTGAATGCTTTTGTATGACAGATCAGCAGTGCAACAATTTTGCCAGACAAAAGTATCCCAACACTTAGCTATTTTGATATGCACATGCTACCAACCCATCTAAGATTTTAAGCTATTTATAGTAAAAATATGAAGTAAATACAGTATGCAACTCCACAATAAAATAATGAAGGTACTGATAACAGCTAGATACAGATCACAAACCTTAATCAACTCCAAATGCTTATAAAGAATAAAAATCACTTTACTGCACTTCCAAAACCTGTAGAAAGTTAATGGACACGGAAAAAGAAAAAAAATGCAAACATGTGGTGTTCATAGCCTCAAGAGGGCAGAATTTGATGTTTCTAAAGAGTGAGAAAAGCACCAGCAACAAATCAACATGTGCTTATTCTCTTTTGTTTGTGATCTGAAAGTCAAGATGGATCTGAAGTCTTGTACTTCTATAAATAAGTTTTTGTTTGGCTAAGTATGAGATGGTTAACAGTGGCTAATAGTTGGTTTGACTCTTTTGAAGATTTCTTGTCCTGTTTTTAATGTTTTACATTGATAATTACATTATTAAACATTTATTTTGAATACTGGCCATATAGCCAATGGCTATACCTATCTGAACGAATGAATGAATGACTCAATCAATCAAAAAACTACTGCTAATATAGATTCCTAAGTGCAATTTAGTGGACAGCTCTGATGTTGGATAAAATCCAATACATATTTATTAAAGTATTTGTATACTTTCTCATTTATACTTTAAAGCTCTTGAAACATCTTAGAATCAATAAAAAAAGTTCTAGCACTCAGGTTTATAATCTAAGGAAAAGGGGATGAGAAAGAAAAAAAGTCTGCAAAACTGGTGGAATAAGCCCGCTTCACCTCTTATCTCCTTGTGGCAGCAGTAAAACTGGATAATCTCTCAGCCTGTCCCTCATTTCTTCTGCTCGACAGGCCAGATTTATTTATTTAGATCCCACCTTTTTTCTTTCCAGAAACTCAAGAAGGCTTACATAAACCTCCCATCAATTTTATTCTCACAACAATCCTGTAAAGTGGGTTGGGTTAATAGTGAATGAGCAGCCCAAAGTCACCCAGTGAGCTTTGTGGCCAAGTGGGAACTAGAACCCAGATCTCCTTGATCCCAGCTCAAAACTCTAATCATCACACTGCACTGACTCTCCGTGTGATGCCATTTAGCTGTACGTGTCAGTATGGAGAGTCCCAGTAGAGCCAGCTCTGACTTTCCCTTCGTTGCACCCTCCTACCCCCTGCCACCTGCTTCAGAGGACTACTAGCCTTTCGGAGGCAGGGTGGGAGAGGAAATCTCTTCCAGCAATGAGACCTGTTCTGTTGACCAAAGGCCAGTGATGGGTTTTACCCAATGAGAATTCCAGAGCAGCAACCTTTTACATGACCACATCAGCCCTACACAAGGTTCAGCTACACTGGGTGGGTGGGGGAACATGGTGTAGAACAGCATGTAGAAAAGGTAAAGTCAATGAAAACCAATGGGTGGATAAACCTGTTCTAAACCCATTTGTTTTGCCTCCTCACTCTGTTCTTCCAAAGACTACTAGGCTCTTTCATTATCAGGATGACCAAAGTGTTATAATCACTAGACCCCAAAAGCACTTGTACATCAGGCAGGCACAAGGAATATTAGAACTCAAGGAAATACTGCAGAAAACTGCCCCAGGTTTTGTTTGCTTACTTACTTTCTTGCATACTGATCCATTGGATGGCTGGCCAGCAGCACTTACCTTGTGCACTGCCTCTGCCTGGGCTTTCAAAATGTTGCTTTTGATGTCTGGTGGCAGCCGCAGGGAGGCACTCATTGGGCTCTCAACTGCATTGTTGAGGCACTTCTCTGTCAGCTTCACTACCTCTTCCTAGAGAGGAACAAAATTGCATGTAAATAACTGCATCTCTCCAGTGAGAACCTTTGTAAAGTCACTAAGCAAACACACAAAAGTGATTCAAAATCAGAAAATTAAGGAAGGCTCAAGGTCAGGCTGCAACATTTAGTCCATGGTTTGCTGGAGAAAACCTTTTACAATCACGCATGTGGTTTGCATAGCAAAATATGCATAATTTGAGTTCTGCTCTATTTAGTTTGCAAAATCTCCACCTAGGAACAACAGCTGCATATGTAATACAGGAAGATTTGCATTAAAATAATGTTGTGAAACATTAAGTATACTAAGAAATGAGGATCAAACCAGACACACATGGATTTTTAACCAAGTCAATGGTTATGCATTAATGGGAGTGGGTTTCGCTTACCACCCAAAGAATTTAGCAAGCCCCTGTCCTGTAGTTTCATTCTCAGCCAGCTTACATCCACTATTAGAGCTGAGGTAGGGTGAGACTCAAAGCAGTGGAGAACAACAAGATAAGACAGGGGAGGGGTGTTAGTTTTGTTTCCATTCTCTTTCTGTTTAATTTTTAAAATTGTTCCTCCCTTGGCCTTGTTTCCCCCCTCTTACCAGAGCTTTTCAATGTGTAATTTTATAATTTGTCTACCTATTCCTCCTACTTCAGGGGTCTCAAACTCGCGGCCCGCGGGCCACTTTCCGGGACGGGCGGGGCACAGGGGAGGGGCCCTGCGGCCTTCAAAGTGGCGGCGGCACCTGGGCCGGCCGTGGGATGAGTGGCCCACCCCCACCGCGGGGGTGGAATACTTGATGCGGCCCAGCCTCACCCAGCCTCTACTTCCAGCGGTCCCCAGGTAAGTTGAGTTGGAGACCCCTGTCCTACTTGCTTCCTTTGACAGCTGAAACCTACAAGGAAATTGACCAGACAGGATCATGTATATGGGCCAATTATAAGTGCACACTTGTGAAAGACTTCTTGAAAAAGTAAATCAAAGAAAGCACAAAGATACTTGTGAAATATTCTGGGGCTGAAAAACATGACCCTAAGTGTGCATTTCTGAGTCACTGAAAGCCATGACAAATGAGGCAAGCAAAAAGAAGTGGTAGTTGGAGCAAGAAGAAGGGGATGAGTTCTGCCATGGCAGACTCTGGAGTCAGCTGGAGGGGGAAGGAGCGAGAGAGCTACAGCAAGCCTGATTGCCTGTCAGGCATGTTGTGGGGTTGTTCTATGAGCAACTCATACTGCATAGCATATTCACAGGGTGGGTTAAACTGCTATGCAAGCAAAGCCAATGGTTGCTGCTTACACGTTGCCTTTTCCTAGCAGTGGAACCAAGCAGCAGCAAGGATCAGTTCCTATTATCTAAAGCAGGCAAACACAGGATTTAATCACTACTGTTGCCTGCCAGGAGAATATTCTCAAGCTTTGTAAATATGTTTAGCAAAAAGTAACTCCTCTGTTTTAAGTACTCATTAAAATCTCCTTCCCATGAGCTACTAGATCCTGAAAGTATACTCTCTCCTCTACATCCTCCTCTTTTCTTTCTTCTGTGTTGAGGTTCCAAGGGAGGGGAGAGTACTCTTTTGTCTCTCTGGTTCCCCCCATGCCTCCAATCATAATTATAGGGCTTTGTATGCACAATGGTTGCTGAAAAGTCCAGATTATTCAATCTGCCTGTTATTGTATTTAGCCACCCAGGAGTTGGATTTCAATAGAAGAAAATCTTCCCTGTGGAATGCTTTTGCAAATGAACTCAGTCACAAATGGTTCCAGAGTGAAAGACCAGAAGAACTGCCTTGGTCCAGCATTTATGACTTAGTAATATTTTAGCAGAGTCTCTCCAACTGTGCATCCACATAGTTCAATCATGCTTTCTAGCTACTTTTCCCACCTTGCATTCTGTATGCAGTATTTTCTTTAGGATATAAAACTATCAGTAGAACACTTTAAAAAAACAATTTATGAAGTTCAGCTTTTATTGTTCCCTACATTCCAGAAACTCAAGAAACTGGAATGCTTGTGTATTTAAACATTAATTGCTCCCTTCAGTGCCAGGGTGCTCGTCCAGAGCTTGGCACTGCCAGCCTTTCATGCTTGCTATCCAGCGAACATGGGCAGCAAGCTGCTGGGAACAGCAGCTCCTCTCTCTAGGGGGATGTCCATCCATGTTGCAGTTTACAAGATGCCATCTATGGATACAGGAAGATTATCTCCAAACATTTTCAAACAGCTGCAGCATATTAAACATATTTTGGCAAAGCAGACTCTGAGGATATAATTTCTAGAGGCGGAACTTGTTTTTATCATCAGTTAACGGAAGTCATTTGATGAGATTTCAGAAGGCAAGCTGGGAAACTTTATTTGATTCCTGCAGTGGGATCAAGCTTCTGTAGTTGAACAGGTCACCAATGATGTGCTACAAGCTTTTTATTTTCAAATGTTCAACTTCCTTCTTTACATAAGTAAAACAATGAACAAGCCATCTTACACAGCCAGGCCCATATAGTTCATAGCCTTCTATTTTGTCAACAAAGTAATCATATGCTATTATATCTGATTTATTTTCATTAGGGTTTGGCTCCTCTTACACCTTTCCTCTCTGGAAAATTCACCCACCGATGTCAGCACATATGACACCAGGATTCAGAAGCACTGGTAGGGCTAGAGGGGGAAATGGACAAAAAGGGAATGCAGAGAAGGATTTATTTCTTTAGTGAAGAAAAGGCTCCTATGGGTGAACTTAAAAGGAACAAGAGAAAGAGCAATATGGGACATTTGCCCCACCCTGCCTGAGAGAAGCAACATAGTTTGACCCAGCCTTTGGCTCCTTGCAACTGAATTTGCTTGCCTAAAACAGAGCATGAATGAATGATTTACAAAAGCAGCTTGGCTCACAACATTTTTCATATGATCAGCATGTGGTTTTTGTCCCAAACAGATCACTTTTATGAATACTCAGAAAACTGCATTTTCTAAAGTGATAAAAGGTTTGGACCCTCAGTAGGAAGAATGTAAATGATTTTTAATTTTTTAAAACAATGCATATTTTGGGTCTAAAAGGGGTTGAAGACAGGCATAACATGGCGTGTGCAGGTAAGGTAGTGTTGGACAGATATTTCAATATTGTACAAGTTGTCCTTGCCTACTGAAGTGCTCTTATTGGACCTGCAGGCACATTTGGGAATTTGAGAAACTGCTGTAGGCACAACCACAGATCATGCATAATCAGTAGATCACCTCTGTGGCTCCTGTCTGTCACATTGATAGATTTTAGGGAGTATCTTACTCAGCTAAAACTTTTGTATCTTCTCTACTCCGTAGTGCATAATGCATTTTTAAATATATAGAGTTGCATTTTGGGGGCCAGGAGGTTATTACACAGACAATATTTGTATTAGAATAGGTTTTTTTTTTTGAAGTATGCACTGATGTATACACACTCTTAAATTGCTTACCTCCTTCATGGAAATCAAGAAACCATCAATGTAAAAGTATACTCTATGCCCTTTCATAGCTAAAAGGCAGATATTGTGACACTGGAAGGAATGAGCACTCCATTCCTATAATGAAGTAAACTGAGGATCTTACAGTGTTTTCAATATTTGAACAGATAGCATATAGACACTGCCTTCAAATGGATCCTTATTTAGATATTTGGTCTGCCTTTGTTGAAGTCTATTTATAACTGCTGGAATGTTGCCAGTTTTTCATATAAATCCATTTAAGCATATGTTTAAAAAGATATTTTTTAAAAATATTAAAAATAGCGTGCTCATAAGGACCACACTGGGGAACCCATTATGGGCTTCTCACTGGGGATCCATGACCTATAGAAAAGGGCATGGTGAACATTTAAATCAAATGCTTTTTTTTTTCTGAGACCCCTCCACACACACATTTTAAAACAGATAAAACTAAAGTTAAATTGGGCAAACCCTAATATCTTAAATAAAAACCCACTGTCATCCATCTCAAAATAGCGTAAGAACATTTCATCTGCAATTTGAAAGCTTCTGAAAGGGTGGGGAATTAAATTGTTCACTTTTCTAAGGTTTACCTTTGTGCACATAAACCATCTTAAAAATTTTTTAACTGAGATACCTCATCATCCCATCTTCAGTGAAGAAAAGGGGATACATAACTTGGCAGCCTTAAAAAAGAATCCATTTTAACCCTGAGCGGTTAAGTGCCTAGTGATCATGTCTTGGATTGTGAGCTAAGCCCCTCTGCAGTACAAGATACTGAAAAACTAATACATCTGTTAGGTAAATACAGCCAGAACTCTCCACTCATTTTAATCATGGATAAAGAATCCCTTAACACAAAAACTATCGCTTATGAAGACACTCAAATTCATAATTTTTCTTCACAATTGTTGTTTGTTAAAGTATGCTCACAGAAGCTTGAGCATACTTACATTTGTCTTAGTTTAATCATCAGTTGAGACAACTTCATTTCCTTAATTGCCTAGAGCTTGTTTTCTTCAGCTTTTACAGCCGAAATACAGTCAGACAGACAGAGGCACTGAACAGGATTGTCTGTGTTCGCTTCTGTTTCTGAGAAGAAGCAGTTGGTAGAATAGCACCCAAGGTTAATCTTCTTATACACTGTAATCTTTATAATACACGAGCCATGCACTGTACATGAGGCACAGATGAAAGCCTGCAAGCAGGGTATGACCACACCAGCGTGACCACCTTTCCCTCATGAAAGGTTGCTTCAAGAGTCAAGAGTACAGAAACCATCAGAAAAATCAGCATGTTATCCCTTACAGCATGTTATCCCTTACAGTCATCAAAGGATACAGTTATAACCTCCTGTAACCCAAGCTGTGAGAAAAGAAAGGCCACTGTTTATTGGTTTAACATAAATTTCTCCTGTTTCTCAACCAAAATTTGACTGCCAAAGTGATTCACAGCAATTACAGCCTCATGCAAAAACACAGAAGGCAAGACGAAATTCTGATGTGAGGTGAGCTTTGTAGCTGGAGCTGGGCCCAGACGTGACAGAGGAGCGCCTGCACACAGCTCAACCTCCCTCGCTTGGCAAGCATGATTACTAGCTCCAGGCAGGAAGTTTCTCAGCTGGAAGTGGCTGCAAGTACAATGGAGGATTAATCTGACATCACCCTCCTCCCCATCTTTGAAATCTTTCAATCAGTTTCAGTTATAGGGCACAAAACAGTAGTGTTTACATTAAAAGGACAGCAAAAATATGAGACCTCTCATTTAGTTTAATGTCTCAGTGTCCTAAATGACTGTGGCCTAGAACACCTGGTCATGGAACTGAGCAGAGTGGGGACAATCTGGGATTTCATCCTAGGTGGGACTGTCAAGAGCCTAGTATAGGCTGTATATATTGTTGAACTGACTGGAAACCTTGACCGCAGTGCTAGCAGATTCAATATACATCTAGGTGGAAGACTGCTAAAGACGCTCATCACAGTCTTGTTTGACTACAATGGTAGAAGCGTCTGTTAACTGCCAATGAAGGAACTGTAAAAACAAAGGTGAAAGGAGGAGTCAAGAGGCTTAAATCCCTTTGAAATGCTTGAAGATTACTCTAAACTGCAATAATAGAAGCTCAGGTGGTATATATAGCACAAATTTAAAAAGTAATGCAAGGCCCAATAGTCAGTGGCTGTCAAAGGAACTATATGAGAAAAGAAGGCTTCCCTCAGGAAATCCAAGTCTTCCCAAAATGAGCACAAACTTGTACAAAGCAGACAAAAGCAGAAGAGAAGCAAAACAAAAATGAAACCTTTTGTTAACATATCACTAACAACAAGGCTAACAAAAACAATTCTTTCAATATATCAGAAGAAAGAAACCAGCTGGAGAGGCTACTGGACAGTTGGTCTGAAGGAGCAGGAAAGGAGGATAAGGAGATCGTGAAGAAGCTGAATGAATTCTTTTACCTGACTGCACAGCAGAGAATACAAGGCAGAATTGAAAATAGCACTGCCAAAACCATACTCCTCTTATATAAATCTTTGATGTGTCTGTACTTAAGAACATTGTGTATAGTCATCCAACTGAAAAAGGATAGTATTGATTGGGCAAAAGTGCAGAGAGGGGCAACTAAAACTATCAAGGGGTTGGAGCAACACCCCATAAGGAATTGTTACAACTTTTGGGATTGTTTAGCTTAGAAAAAGGCTGAGTAAAGAAAAACATGATGGAGGTGCTTCAACTTATGCACGGCATAGAGACAGTAGAGGGGAAGACATTTCCTCCCCACCCCCTTCCATGATAACAGAACTAAGAGTAAGCCTGTGAAGCTTGCATGGGAGATTCTGGACAGATAAAGGAAAGTACTTCTTTGCATAGCACATAGTTGAAATATGGAATTCACTACCACAGAATGTAGTGAAGGCCACCCATTTGGAACGGACAAATTCCAAGAGAAAGCTATCAGTGGTTATTAGTCTTGATGGCTAAGTGCTATCTCAGATACCAGAAGCGGTATACCCCTGTACACCAGGTGCTGGAGAGCTTGGGCAGGGGGGAACTGCTGTACCCATCTTGCTTTAGATATCCTGTGGGCAGCTGGTGTGTGTGTGAGCATCAGGACAGTGCCAGAATGTGCCCAAAGGGATTATAGCTTAGATGGGAGTGCAAGCTTAGACAGTGAAAATGAGAGTCTTGTGGATTCTCAGCCAGCTCCAGTATCAGATCGAAGTCCAAGAATGTCTGGGGAGCAGGGAGAGGAGATGTTAGTTCAGGAAGAGGGGGGTAATGGCTAACAAACCTGTGGGAACAGAGAAAGCAGAATGGGGGGAGAAGTAGTCATCCAGGACTGACAGGAGTCCTGGTCTACCATTGCAGAACAGGAAGAGCAGCTAGTCTGACAAAGAGAACCCTCCTCTTCGGAAGGCAACACCAGTTGCTAGAAGGAAGTATAGGCGAGAAATTCAGGTAATGGAAAAGCAGGAAAATCACAAAACGGCTAGGTTCTGGAGTGCTCCGCCCGAGGGGATGCACAGACTATGAGGTTATAAAGAGGAGGAAGACTAGTTGAAGCCAGAGAGGGCTCAACATTTCACTCTGGTTGGACTCAATAAATGTGCAACAATAATGCCTTGTAAAAAGAAACTCTGAGCAACATGTTTACTCAGGAGGCGGCCCAAGCTGCACAACAGCTGATTTGCTACCAGGCAAATAAGAGTGCTAGTCTTGAAGGATCTCAAGTCTGATTTACCACGTTTTTCCTTGGCTCTTAATTTGTATCAGATTATGTATCTACTCAGCTTTTAGAAGCAGTTTTGCAAAACAGCATATAGGTAGGACAGAATAGCTGGGTACCACATGTCCCTAAGACCTCAGCCATATTCACAGTATTTCTGAAAACAGAGCATACAGTACCTGTTTGTTGACATTGATGTTTATGTTGGACTCGGGAACTAGCACTGAATTGAGCTCCGCTTCCAGCTGTTTCAGTTTCAGTGATGTATCCTCAACTACTGAAGGAGGAAAAGGTAGAATATAAATTAACCTAAGATTAGATAAGAGCTCTGAAAATTGTTTGCATTTCATTTTTGTGATCAACTAATAACAACAGGACTGCAGTCAACTAGAATTGCTGTTCTTCTTTGTGCTCTCTGAGAAGTCACACTTATGGTTCTGCACCTGCAGCAGCCAGAAATCTCCACAGAAATATGGTACATTGCCAGCTAACTCATGCTGGCAGATGAAAAGATATGATAATTCCACCTGAAATTTCAAGCATTCCAGAAGTTCCTAGCTGAGCAAGTAGAATCAAAGTCAGGACAGGATCTTGGAAAATTAATTTTCTGGTCAATATCTGTATTTCCCTATCTGTGGGTACATACGAAATTACTAGCTGCAGCAACTTGTAAAGATCCCCAAATACAACCTTTATAAACTGATGAGGTATATTTTGTATTTATTGAAAACCAAACAAGCTATCTTGTTCTGTGGAAGCAAACCAAGACAAATGCAGAGTGGAGTAGGAGGAGAAAGGAGAAGTGGCACTAGTATTTAAGAGAGTGACCAATAGTTTTAGGTACTCTTCTTGTCCCTACACAGTTCCTGACCATTCTCAAGAATGTTTCCTAATTCTTATTTATTTAAAACATTTGTATGCCGTCTTTCACTATCACATCTCAGGACAGCTTACATGATTAAAAACAAAACCACAGAACAATAGAACAATTGATAAAACAAAACAATAAAATTATCAAAACCAAAACAATTCAATCAAAACAAAACAAAAATGACTGTAAATGGTAAAAATACTATTTAAAATAACGATGAAATAAAAAAGGTTTTAATCTGACACTGAAAAGAGTATAGGCTCAGCACCAGGCAAACCTCACTGGGGAGCATATTCCATAATCTGGGCACCACTGCAGAGAAGGCCCTGTTCCAAGTAGATGTCCTTTTTACCTCCTTTAGGGTAAAGATCCCACTGATCTTAAGGGGCATGATGGCATATTCGGAAGGAGATGTTCCTTTAGGTATCCTGGTCCCAAGCCGTTTAGGGTTTTATAGGTCAAAACCAGCACCTTGAATTGGGCCCGAACTTCAACTGGAAGCCAGTGAAGTTGGTAGAGGACCAGCCTTATGTGAGAAAAATAGGCCGGTTCCTGTCAGCAGTCTGGCTGCTCTATTTTGTACCAGCTGAAGTATCCAGACCATTTTCAAGGGCAGCCCCACGTGGAGCGTGTTACAATAATCGAACAGGGAGGTTACCAGAGCATGAATCACCATTGCTAGGCAATGCTTGCTTTGGCTGTTCCATCAGCTGCATCCTTACTACTGCCACCTGGGTTTCCAGTGACAGTTCCAGGTCAAGGAGTACTCCCAAGCTGCAGACTCTGTCCTTTAGAGGGAATGCTACCTTGTCCAGGACAAGGTCAAAATCATTTACCTGAAACCTCGATCCACCCACAAACAGGACTTCCATCTTATCTGGACTGAGGCTCAGTTTACTGGCCCTCATCCAGCCCATCACCTCAGCCAGGCACCGGTTCAGTACAGCCACTGCCTCACCTGGAGTAGTTGTAAACAAGATGTAGAGCTGGGTGTCATCAGCATACTGGTGACTCCGCAGCCAAAACCTGATGACCTTTCCCAGTGGTTTCATGTAGATATTAAAGAGCATGGGGGACCAAATAGAGCCCTGCGGAACCCCATGGCAAAGCTGCCATGGCGCAGAACTATTGTCCCCCAGTACCACCTTCTGGAATCGGCTGGCCAGGTAGGGGCGGAACCACCACCAAGCAGAGCTTCCTACTCCTAACCTGGCCAGCCTATCCAGAAGGATACCATGGTCGATGATATTGAAAGCCACTGAGAGGTCTGGGAGAACCAACAGGGATGCACTCCCCCTGTCCCTCTCCTTGCATAGATCATCGTACAGGGCAACCAAGGCAGATTCAGTACCATAACCAGGTCTGAAGCCAGACTGAAATTGGTCCAGATAATCCATTTCCTCCAAGAGTGCTTGGAGATGTACCGCCACCACCCGCTCTAACACCTTGCCCAAAAATGGACTGTTGGCCACCGGTCAAAAGTTGGCAGCCACCTCTGGGTCCAGAAATGCCTTCTTCAGGATAGGCTGGACCACCACCACCTCCTTCAAGGGGGCAGGGATGCGGCCCTCCCTCAGTGAGGCATTGATAACCTCCTGGACCCAGGGACTAATCCCGTGACTGGCTGAAGTAGCCAAGAGGGGCAAGGATCAAGAAGGGAGGTGGTAGGACGTACCATTCCAAGCACCTTGTCTACATCATCAGGCAGCAGTAACTGAAACTCATCCAATAATGATGGACCAGACAGCACTCTGGACACTTCCCGTACTGGAACCATATCAACTGTGGAGTCCAGATCACGGCGAATCTGAGTGATTTTTTCCTTAAAGTGCTGGGCAAAGTCATCATAGTGGGCTGCCGAAGGTGCAACCACATCATTTCCTGGCCAGAGTGTGTCAGGCCTCGTACTTCTCGGAAAATCTCTGCTGGATGGCACTGTGAGGAAGCAATGGAAGCAGAGAACTGCTGCCCTCACCGCCACAGCACAATAGTGAGCATTTAAGTGTGTTCAGTCAGAATCATCCTGAGATTTCCTCCATCTGCGCTCTAATCGTTTCCCAGCCTGCTTCATCACCCGCAACTCAGGCATATACCATGGTGATGAATGGACTCTTACTAGGCAGGAGAGGACGCTTAGGAGTGATCGTGTCGATTGCCCTGGTCATCTCCAGAATCAACCAGGACATCAACAGGAGTGCCAGTTTTACCCGCTGGAAAATTCCCCAGAGCCCTCAGGAATCCATCTGGATCGATCCGGCTCAAGGGGTGGACCATCTTAATAGGGCCCACACCTTTCCAGAGGGAGAGATCAGCCCTCAGCTCAAACCTCACAAGGAAGTGGTCTGATCATGACAAAGATCAAATTTCTGACTTCCAGGCCACCCTCTTCCTGCCCTGTCAAGAAAACCAGGTCAAGTGTGTGACCTCTTTCATGGGTTGGGCCAGTGACATGTTGAGACAGCCCATGGCTGCCATGGAAGCCATGAAGTCCTGAGCCGCCCTGGGCAGAACTGCCTTGGCGTAGAGGTTCAAGTCCCCCAGGACCAACATTCTGGGGGTCCTTAACACCAGGTCTGAGACGATTTCTGTCAGCTCATCAAGGGAGTCTGCTGGGTAGGAGGGTGCATGGTACACCAGCAGAGTCCTTAATCTGTCTAGATCGCCCAACACCAGGCACCAACACTCAAGACCTGGTCTTGAAGGGACAGGAAGCCTTGGGAGGGAAATGGAGGCTTGGTAAACCAAGGCGACCCGCCCTCCGGACATGGTCGGTGTTGCACCAGATACCCAGGCAGGCATAATTGCATGAGGGAAACATCTTCGCCTTCTCCCCACCAGGTCTTGGTAATACATGCCAGGTCGGCCACCCCGTCTATGATCAAATCATGTGTGAGAGATGTTTTATTATGGACCAACCTGGTGTTCAACAGCAACATTGTCAGGCTGATATTGCTGCCAGGAACCTTCTAGTTGGGAGAATAACCAGAAGAGGGGACCTGTATCTAACATCAGCCCCTCCTTCTTCTATGCAGGCCTGTTAGACCCCCAATGCCATACCTTCCCCTGCCCACCACCACCCCAAAGGTGGCGCCCACCTGCTCCCCAGGTAAAACCATCCCAGATTAAAAACAAATAAAAACACAGATGCACCCCCCCCCAAAAAGGACCAGAACCTCTGGCCCAGCCCAGCCCCTCTCGGCCCCAAACAGCAATGCCTTTTGGCCACCAGCCCTGTCCGCAGCCAGCAAGAAAAGGGCTCCACTGCAGCTCACTACACACAATCTACTCGTGTCTGCCCTGCCCAACACAGCTGCCACCTGTGCAGAGAGGCAGGTGATCTTAGTTTCTGATCTCTACTTCCTCTTTGATCCTCTACTTTAGATGGGCACTTGAATATCAACCTCTTTTCCTGTTTGTTTTTCTGCACCAGCTTTAAAACAACATTTATGCACAAATCCAAATTGTGCCAGAATAAATTCATGGAAAGGGCATTCATCCAAGAGTAATAATTTGTTTAACGAGTGCAGATTTTGAGTATCCCAAGGCAACATTTGGGTGTGCGTGGCACAAAATACACTAATTATTTTAATTGGTATTCAAGATCATTAGCAAAAACAGATATGGAACCATAACTGATACATGGTAGTTTCTCTACAGTGGTAGGCTATCTATATACAAAATAACTTTTTCCATGTAGATTGTGCAACAATTGACTTGGGTGCAATGGCATACAGTTAACTAAGCCTAAGTTGGTATAAATGAAATAACTGCATATTTATCCCATTTGCAATGCCTCCATTTGTTTCCCTATCCTTTGTTTCCCCTCCAGGGATCCACTGATGACATATGAGAACATAAAACTGCCCCCAATTATAACAAATAGAGGAGAGGAAAAACCAAGCAGGCTGTGATTTTAAATACTGTAAATCTGTGCAATAACCGTTAAAATAGGATGTCTATCGTCAAACAAGTACCAGAGTGTCAGGTTATCTGGAATTTAGTTTTCAATCAATTGGGGTGTCTTGGGAAACCTACAAATTTATTCTATGACATGAGAGAACCCAAACTGTCTGCAGAGAAGGTCACATGCTCTGCATTATCAGAGACAAGTAACAGTAAAACTTTGAAGTGCCCAAGGAACAAGTGTAGAGCATTTCCTTACCAATAGGATCTGTCTTCTCAGAAGTAGGCTCCTTCTTGCCATGAGCAGAGAAAGAACTGTCTGTCTCTTCCAGAGCCTCAGTTGATCCTCCAGGAGGAGAAAACCCAGCAGCATTGTCAATACAAGTTCCCATTAATTCTTTGTTATCCAAGTCAACATTCACAGGCACACTACACAAGACAGGCAAAGGAAACAAGGTTTCAGACACAAATTCAAAGCAACTGTTTTTGTTATGCATGACCATGGCCCTAAGGATACTCCTACCCAACATTTCAAAAGAATATTAGATGTGTATGGATTGAGCTGAGGTGATGTTCCTAAGTCACACAGATGTTTCTTTGGGTATCTAGAATAAACAACTGTGTAGAAACAATTTCTGCATTTACATATGATTTGGCTAAATTTCATATAAAAGACTTTTTGATCAAAGCCACTACTGCCTTGTAGACCAGTACACCTTATACTGCAGCTTTTCTTGTTATGGGTATATCATTGCTTCTGGCAATGAAATGTAAAAGTGTGAACAACAGATACACATCCTTACATACCCACATGCACAAACGGGGAACAATGAAATGGCAGGGCTTGCTATGTGTAAAGGGGCATTTATAGAGCTAGGCTAGTCTTCCACATCTTGCATGGTTGCTGTAAAAAACACCCAACAGAGAGACAGATCATTTTGAATTCTTGTTGGAATTCTGCTAGATTGAGTCCCATTAGAAATCACTGTGCGCTGGGGAAAAAAATGTCAAGTTTCCACTGAAACATCTAAGAAGTCTATCAAAAACTTTTAGCATAAGAAATAATTATGCTTGCCTTGCTTACCAGCCTGTCCCTGAGTTTGTGGATGCTGTTTTTAGGTGCCAGATCAGTAAAGAGCACAATAATCCATGCTCAAATAGCAGATGAGGCAGCTGATCTGGCATGTATGACTGACACCCAGTTATGCCCAGTGGAATGCTTGTACAGACTCAAGGCAAGCTTCTGGACTGGTGGGGAGTGGTTGCCACCATCTATAGGAATTCTCTCTTTCCAGGTGTCCTGTGCACTTGAGTAGTGGTTTGAAGTATTTGCATCTTGCACTGGGCCAGTGGGACATACTAGGGATTCTGTATGTGTAACCCATCAGTGTCCCTACTTGAGCGGACAGAAGCAGTCTTAGCTATGATGCTGGGGTTTCCAGGCTGCTGCTTCTGGGAAACTTCAACATTCATGCCAAGGGATCTTGTCTAGGGCAGCTCAGGATTTCATGGTCTCTATGACAACTATGGGACTGTCCCTATATGTCATTGACACATATAGCAGGGCACACTCTGGACATTTTCAAGTGTACATAAGGATAGTGTTCTGAAGGTGAAAGTATTTGATTCAGTGTCTTTGTCATAGCCAAATCACTCCCACTGATAGACTGACAGTGGCATTTTCCATCTGCAAGGATTGGGGACCCGTCATGCCAATTTGCCCTCAGAGGCTAATGGATCTGGATGCTTTCCAGAGGTCTCTGGGTGGGAGTTCCAGTTGATATGGCGGGCACTCCTGTGAAAGTCTTGGTCAAGCTGTGGAACACAGAGATGATCTGGGTGGTTAACGCAGTTGCTCCTAGCCACACTCTGTTAGAGTTCCTACCGCTCCATGGTATACCCCAGGGGTGAGCATGCTGAAACACAGGAAACTGTTTAAAGTGCAGAAGGAGAAAAACTTGTAATGGGTGCAACCAACTCTGGTATGTGCCTTCCATCTGGAATACTTAGGAGCAGTAAATGCGGCAAAGCAACATCTCACTCCTATTCAGTCTTCTATTTGTTGTCCAGTGCAGCTTCTCAGGGAAGTCCAAAGCCTATTACATGTTGGCCCCAAGGATATCCTGGATCCATCTGAGGCCTGCTATATTATATTTGCTTGGTACTTCTAGAATTACTTGCATTCACCAGGACTTAGGTATGGCAGTTCAATCTGCTGAGATACCCAGAGCACAGCCTGATCTAATTTTATTGGATGAGCTTTAGTTGGTGCAGTTTGAAGATGTTGACAAAGTGCTTGGAGAGATCCTTCCAACCACTTCCACACCTTTGGTCTTATACAAAGATCTTATGTTCTAAAAAGAAAATGCCTAAAGGGGCAGGAGAAGAATTAATAGCACTGGGAGTGGGGTTTATACCCTTGAGACATGTAGGTCCACCCTCATTTTGAGTTTAAACTCCACATTTCATGAAAACACAGCAATTGGGATGCCTAGCAACTACTAATATGGAAAAGTTCCAAGAAAAGATGACATTCTCATCTATGTTACTCATGGAATCCTACATGGCTTTTATAGAAGAGAATTTGTGTGAAGAAAAGTGAGGTGCATAAACCCCACTCCAAGTGTTGTTGATTCTTCCTCTGTCCCTTTAGGTTTTTCTTTTAGCTTTGTTATAACAGACCAAAGGCCCATTTAATCCACCATTCCATTCTCAGAGTTGCCAGCCTATGGAATGCCCACAAGGAAGGTAAGAATTCAAACAATATCCTCCTACACATGTTCCCCAGCAACTGGCGTTTAAGAAGCATACTGTCTCTGGTAATAGAGGAAATACAGTCAAAATGACTAACAGACATTGATAACCTAAGCTTCTAGAACTTTGTTTAATCCCCTTTCTATGGTGGTAGTAACACTACATCTTGAGGGGGAAACCGCCATAGTACATTCAGCTCCATTGGATGAACCCAGGATCTAGTTTCAGGACATGAAAAAAAATCTATACTATTTTGCCATACCATGTATTACTTTTATGTATATTATTTATCCCCTTAGTCATGTTTACTTTAAGTTAAAGAGTCCCAAATGTACAACCTCATGTCATAGGCTTATTCCACCTTTTGATGATTTTAGTTCATGGTTCCAGTGCTAGCACCAATGACATACCACCAGCATTAATTCTTATGTGACATACATCAGCCTTCCCCAACCTGGTGCCCTTCAGAGGTATTTTGACTGCAACTCCCAAAATTCCCATCCAGCAAGACCACTGACTGGGAATTGTGGGTGTTGCAGTCCAAACACATCTGGAAAGCACAAGATTGGAGAAGGTTGACATAAACAATGTAATGGGGACAAACCATGATTTGCTGCCAAAATTTGGCAGCATGGTAAAACTGGACACCTTTTCTTCAAACCAAGGTTTGTGTATGAACTGAGACAACACTAGATACTACTCAGTGAGTTAATTATTCTGGAAACTACCATTGCTAACAAGTTTTTCCTTTAGGCATCTAGGGCTTCAGCTGTCCATTTTCTATAAATAATCTTAAAAAGCATGAAAATCTAATTCACATCTGTTCACCTGACCTACAGTCTTTAGTCATTTATATTTTGATTATTAATGTCATGATCCTCTAATTTCTATTCCATGTTACTATATACCTATCCACAGCCAACAAGATCTAAATGGGGAAGATGACTATAATTTGCAAGATTTTTAAAGGGACTTAAATTTTCCATAAACATATTCAAATTGTACAAAAATATTTTTCTGTTCTTTTTAATCTTTCAATTATGCTTTAAAGAAACTTGCTTATTCCAATGTTTTGTCTATTATCCAAGGGAAGTGTTGCTTTACAGTTCTTAATATAACTTAACTATTCTTTCTTAGCCTTTTTGGATAAGATATTTATAATGAGATCACACTCCTCTCATATTTGACATGTTCATACCCTGTATGAAATATTTAAGGTTGCAAAAATCTGAACTAATTTCTTGGATAATTTACATATTAGAAAACCTTCACAAGCCCTCCCAGCAGTGATGTGAGAAAGAAAATTTTCCAAATTGGAAAATTTTTAATGCTGTGTTTTCTAATCCTATGCATACATTTTATACCTTGTATGTCTGTATTTATCCATAACTGTCTGTGCTGTTGCACTGTATTTAATCATGTTAGATGGGCTAAATATAAAACATGAATTTCCATTATTCTTTTAAGGCAAAGACTGACAAACCCTACTGCTCAGATGCCCATGAAGAACTGAAAAATAAGGTAAGACAGCTCCTTCCTATGCACAATGCAGTTGGCTCAAGCCTGGGTTATACCAGAATTATACATAGTGGATTTGCCCTACTATTCCTAACTTTTTCAAAATAGCAAACTGAAGGAGCATAAAGCTGAAACTAAGATTGTGATTACTGTTTCAGTTTCCTCACAGAAGTGCCTCATTTCTTCTCATCGACAAGGGAGTTAGAAGTGTTTGCATAAGGTTTGCGAGTCATCCAGTGTTTCTGGTTATGTTGCACTACATTATTATGCCAAAATACAAGATGACTAGCATGTGGCATAACTACAGTTAAAACAGTGAAGGAAGATAAACAGTTGGTAAATCGTCAACAGGAGTATGCTAACAATACAATAACATTTAACAGCATGTAGAAACTGCACTGAAAAAAAAAAAATACAAGCCACCCACAGAAAGCTGGGGGGGTAGAATTATTCAGAATACTGGAAAATTATATGGAAAATTTTCCTGTTGGGCTTTTTGCAGAAAAAAGCTTTTCATACTAGCCTGTATGCTCCCCTCACACACACCATTTTCACACATGACCTACAAGCACTCCAAGGGCAGAAAAGGTCATATGAAATCAATACACGCTTGTGCATCAAATAAAGATGATTAAAAAGCATTCCTAGTTATGCTACCACTTGGACATGAAGGGGATGTAGGAACAACTCTAAGCTGTAAATCCAATCTTTTAGAAGAAGCTGAACACTTTACTCCCAAATTATTGGAATCACCAATCAATAATCCATGTGGTTTGATTTAAACTTTAGCTTACTTGTTCTGATCCGCTCTTGTCCCAATACTAAAGCTCCACCATTCTGAGACCAAAAGACGGAAACGGAAACACACACACACACACACACACACACACACACATCCAGAGAGAGAGAGAGAGAGAGAGACAGAGACAGAGACACAGAGAGCGAGAGAGAGACAGAGAGAGCGCATGCGCACCAGCCAAATATTACCAGCGTACAGATGACATGCCAACCAACCCTAATGTGCAGGTAAATTCTCCAGTTTCACATAGAAAACAAAAAGCATGGGAAACAAATTGGATCCTTGCAATACCACATTGGTATGCAACAGTGGTGCAGCTCCTCACCCTATCAGATGAAACACCTCCCCAATCCACCCG